GACATGCAGTTTGGGTCTTGTATTAATTCAATTGGAGACAGTCACCTTTTGAAGTTGCGAGTTGAAATGACGTTAACATCGGCCAAAGTTGTAATCGGATCCCGTAGCACCAGCCAAGATGCACTTATGCAATCTCACACACGTGCACGAACAAGTACGTCATATGTGAGGCTGCCGTATTTCATGTCTAAGAGTACCGGTACTTGTTGATCAGAAGACGGGTCCGTAATATTAAACATCGTTCATGCTTGTCCGAAATTTGATATTTTTATTTTGACAAGAAATGTTAGAAATGTCACGATACTCAATCACTAAATGTGCCTCGTCGTGTTTATGGATTGTTTTGGTAGTTTGGGTTTCCCCGCGAGGCATTTGGTGCTTTGCAAGACAAAGTTGGCATTATTTCTTTCTATTCTACGTTGTTTTTTGGTTGTCACTGCATTTTTGACATCAAATTTTGCTAGTATTTTGTATGTTGATGCAGTTTTCTTGCAATGATCTTCTCCGGTCCCTTCAACTATTATTTCACAACCCTCCCTCTCTAGCTGGCTATTTCAACAAGGCCAGCCCAGCAGTCGAAATAAATCAAGTGACTGTTTGTAACAGTTGAGTGCTCCCTGCCTTCATAAAGCAGGATTGACTGGCTGTGATGGTCATGAAACCTAATGTAGCTATGTTTTGACTGTAGGAGATTGATAAGTCAGCTGTGCCTAGGCCAGTGACCTGCTTTTGTCTGTTGATGGAACTTGACTGTCACAGTGCCTACAAGAAATATAATCTGACTGTTGGTGACTAGCCTGTGTAAAAGGCATGGCAGGGGAACAGGATTTAATTTTTGACTGTCTGTGACTGATCAAACAAAAGGAGGGTAAAAAAATAAACATAAGGGATGTATGGTTATAAATACCAGTAGCTTTGAGAATATTTCACTAGAAATTAAATTAAAACCATTTCGTACCTCCAGCCATACATTGCACTTACAAAAAAAACATACCTATTGAGAACTCTCAGCCAAAACAAAATCCACAGAACTCTCATACTTGCAGTCAAAAAGTATCATCCTCCAAAAGCACACATCCACAGTGACGAGAGAGTCACGGCCAACTTAAAAATAGCCACAGATCCCCTTGTGACTTTGAACCAGGCTCATGGGAATCCTTCGCCTTCTTCAATAAGCATTTTTAAGCAAGGCTTTCCCCTGTCTGTGACCCCATCAAGATAGCCTACATGCACATATATGGCCACTATTGCCCCCCAACCGATGCTTTAGTTAGTAACAGACTGTGATGACTAGACGCACCCTTGGGAATGACACATATCCCCCTTCATCACAAACCGTGACCTCAAAGCCAAATCCACCCCCCCCCCCATGCCTGGGGCAAACTTACATAACTCACACAACCTTAAACTTATGACCGAGGTACTGGCAGATCACTTGGTCAGCTCAGGACCCTCTGCACACTAGGGCCAGTTTGAGGTACATGTTAATTTTCAAAGACTAATTTCAGTACATGAACCATTTGGGGTATTTAAAGAATCAGGGGTCTTATGTCATTAAGATGGAAGGAAGTGACTCTGTGGGTCAGCCAAGGCCATTACTCGCACAACCTTAAACTGATGACCGAGGCACGTCTCTCAGTTGTGCACTTGGTCCACAGCTCTCACAGACCCTCTGCGGATAGGGGTCAGTCAGTCTGAGGTAAATTTTCAAAGACTTATTAAAACCATTTAGGGTATTTAAGAATCAGGGGTCTTGTGTAATTCCTTTCCCTATGTTAAGACTGAAGGAAACAAGTCTGGGTCAGCAAAGGCCAGATGTTCTTCTGAATCACCAAACCTAAGATTACCTTGCCGGTATCTTAAATAATTTAACATAAATCCCTTTCAATGCAAGCTGGATTTCTTTTGTTATTGTGAACCCTAATACAAGTCCAATTTGGAGACTTTCCTAGTAAACAGTAAACAGCCTTTCCATGTAAGCTGGATTTAATCATTCTTTCGTAAGGGAACCCTAACATCATTGACATTTTGTTAAGACTGGTGCTGAATCCTTAAAAAATAACTACTGTTTAGATACACATTGTTTAATACATGTACCGGTACAGGTACCGTACTTTGAATTTCAATAGGCATCATGCTCATGAATATAAATGTGCCAGTGGCTTGGCTGCAATATCTTCCGAAACCTCCTGGTGAATTGTTGAACCATCTGGCAGGGACGGAGGAATCTAAGCACACCCTTTCTCTCATCTTCTTCCCCCTCCCCCCCCCCATATTTTCAAAACCCTGCCCCTCCTCCAGTAGGCCTACCTCAATAAATCATGGATACATGTGTAGCAACTGAGGTGAATAACTAGTCATGGTCCAATGTCTGGATTTCAAGTTTATTCCCCTATATTACGTCTGGTACCCTGACAAGTTTTGTAATGCCTCTGCAGCAGAAGTGGTCAAGTCAATGGATCAAATAAGTCAGTCTTGGGAACTTTGGCAGTGCTACCCGGGCAATTTACAAGCACACCTCGCACCTGTGCATTAGCGAAGTTGAATACATGTACATTTCCCAAGACTGGATTTCGTTCATCTTGTTGAGAGTGTCTCATGAGGTCACCCCCGCTAATGGAACATACGAGACTACCAATGATGTACAAATCAGCACAGGAAAATACACAATGTACGGTACATGTACGACCTCATTTCAATACAATAAAGTCCAATTTGGAGACTTTCCCAGTAAACAGCTGATGCCCCTCTCTATCTGAAACAAGTCCTTGTCTGTTTATTTGCATATAATGGGAACTTCCGTGGAACTTCTGGACTTGGCATTGGTCTTGGACCCTTGCATCTGTGTTGGCCCAGCAGTTTTTTTGGAACTGCGCCTTTCCCACATTTTGCCCTCTGCACACAACTTGACAATTTGCCAACATTCCAACGGTCAAATATGTCAACAATGCTTTCAGACCATGCACTCCTCGTGTTTTGGTTTTAAATTTCAGCGGTTTTGATCTTGACTCTTGAGAAGAACCACAACAAGGTTAGTTGCTGGATGCTGATTTCTTAGCCCAGGTTGGGACTACATTGTGGGAAGTTTGGGGGGGGGGGAGAGATGGGGTACGGTTTGGGGGGGAGGAAGATTTCTAAAACTTGGACCAAGTTGTGAGAACTGGAAGAGTTCCCGCACATTCCAACCTAATAAGAATTTGTGCATTGTATTTTGTTGTGTATAATAATTGTTGATGTGTTTTTGACAGAATTTACACTGAATGTAGGGATATAGTTTGACACTATCTTTGTATTTTTGTTGACTTTCAAAAATCTTGTTTTCCACAAAATTTTGATCAACATGATAAGTCCACAATGCCTGTGATGACCTGTTTATTCGAAACATCCTGTGATTTGAAAGATACTACCAGTACAATAAAGCTCTAGATGTAGTAATTCTTTAGAGATTCAGTCATCAAAGAAAGAAGAATTGAGCTTTGTTCTCAAAACAAGTAATTTTCTGTCCGAAACTCGTGACAGTAGCGCCTGTGTGTGTTTCCCTCCATAGAGCGAGCAAGGTTATCACAAGGATGTGGTTGTTATTGTCCCGAAGTGACCTAGTCTGGCAATCATGTCCAGACATAAATCACTGGCTCCCTGTGGGGGGGCAGCTAATTGGCCTTAAGTGCCCTTCACAATGGTTGAGAAAGTGCTAGACTATAGGGCATGTACTCTGGATCAAAACCAGGATTAAAGAAATTGTTGGAATATAACTGTTAAGTGTTACACATGTGTTATCAGCGATTCCTGGTAATTCGGGTTGTCCCCATGTGCGAATACTGGTATTGGGCTGATAAGCAAGAATGCGTGTGGCATTTAGTGCGCATTGCAACACAAAGCTACAAATACCCCCGTGCTGTTTTCTTCAATGTAATTTTGCATTAACCAGCGACACCATCCTATATCCGAACCCCCCCAACACACACACGCATCTGCGTAAACACCCCGTCAATCGTGGACCCCCTGTTGTCCCTAATCCTCATTCCTTTGCTGGTACTCAAACTTTTTAGCAACAGCTCTCATTGGTATTGTGCACGAATTTCAATCGTGGACTATCGGTCAATCATGGACATACAGTATTGTTTGTAACCCTTTTGTCCTAGGTCCACAATTGCTGGTGCTTATGATACTCACCCACACACTTCCTCCCCTCAAAAAAAGGAAAAAAGGAATAAGAACTTTGCAGTTACCTACCTTGGTACTACTTGAAAATTGAAACTCTACCAGTAGGCCCTACCAAATGTCATATCTGGCTTCCAAGGTTAACCATGGGTTGATGGATTCATAGAACTTGGGGTTAATATGTGCCATGTTATTTACAAGTAACGGGCAAAGAACTTAAGATTCTGTCTGAAGAAAATTCAACTGCTTCTTGGAGTTGGATCTTGAAGAAGTTTGCTTTCTTAACCCTTACTCTCTGAGGGTAGTTTACTGCATGTCAGTTGGTTATGCCAATGCCCTCCAGCTGCAGTTTATTGGCAGATAGTTTGTCTTAACAGTGAAGGCTCCAATTGGCAGGAGTTGGAGGCCCTGGAGGGTGCCTGATACTGACCAGCTGGGGGCACTCACTTTGTTATCAGAGGACTCTCATTGTTCTCTGTGGCATGTATTGGAGTGCCTGTCCAGTTACCCTTGAAATGACATGGCAGATATTGGAGGGCCATGCAAAAAACATAGGAGATTTTCTTGAGGCATATATTGGCATGCGTTGGAGGGTCTAGTAGGGTAAGGGTTAATGGTAGAAGTACGTGTACATTTAAGAAACTCTGTGCTGCGTAACACATTTTATTCAAGCGTTTGTGGCTTTTTCTGTTTTTTGGTGTTTTTTTTTTTTAATTCAACTACTTCTTGTCTATTACAGTACCTCTTGAAGAACTGTTCTTTCTTCATGGCAAAAGTGGGAAAATCACTGCTACTAAGCATGTTTTATTTAAGCGGTTGTGTTATTTGTTTTCCCCTGAATACAGACATACAGAAGTGAAATCAAAAAAAGATGATCCAAGGAGAACCCTGACAAGACCAAGAAATACAAGACCAAGTAAGTAGCCTCTTTGTTTCTGTGTGAAACGCAAATTCCTAATCCTAGTGTGGATAACAGACAAATTTTTATTTTACATGTGTTGCTCTCACGAAAAAAAAATCCATTTTTTCCGATAATGGGCATCTGCAACCCTATATGCAATTTTTTTTTTTCATTTTGCGCACAAATGAACCCGCCCTGCGACTAGAGCCAAAGTATTGTCTGGCAGCCAATAATTCAAATTTTGCAAGGAATGATTCAATAACGAAACGTCGGTAGATTTTTTCCGTCCGATGTCTCATTCAAAAGTGACTAACTTAATTATATTGCTAGGAAAATAGCAATTGAAAGAGCAAATCTATCTTTTTTAGGTGAAACTAGAAAACAGCATCTTCAAACCCTGAAACACAAGAATGAGTCTATTGCAGTACTGCGTGCCCGCCATTTCTTTGCTATCCTGTTCGCGTGCCTTTTGCTGATTGCTTGCAATCCTCTTAGATGTAGCCATTCCTAACATATTCCAATAATCAACAAACGGGATAAAATATCTCTCTGTATTTGGCCACCATTGACTTCTTGTCCTTGTTGACTCAAATCCCCCTTTTAGGTGATGAAAAAGTTAAGAAGGCTTGATGTGTCATTCCTAGCAATTTTTTTCCCCCTAAGGGCAAAAAAAACCAAACTTTTAACAGTTGCTAAGAAAACATCTCACAGGCTTGTGACCTCCGGCTCCCACCAGTGATAAGTTCAATGTGCCACTTGTAAACATATTTTCTGAAGTGCGGGTAGTTCATGTACAGGAGACTGCATGTTGTGGGGGGATGGGGGCTGTTGAGTGCTTTTAACTTGCAAAAATAGGCTTTGCTCTTGGAATATTTGAAATGGTTGTGGTTTCCACACTGACTCATACCTAGACAACTAGTCTGGTCCCGGTCTGATATAGAAGTAGTAATTTCCTCTGACGGAGTGCCTCATGTGTTGATTATTGTATCCTTCTGGCTCCTATGGTTTTGTGTTTTATCATCCCATTGGTTTTTTTTTTCTCTAACTTGGTCTGCAAAAAAAAATGCCCAATGGAGACTATTACTGAATTTGTTCTTCCGGATGAGATGAGCTAATGAGATCTGTGTAGGGGATAATGATGGTTAAAACTAGGCAGAGTGAAAATGCTGTGGCTCAGAAATGAAACCCTATTTCAAAAAACAAGGGTTCAATTTGGTACATGCAAAGAGAGGAAAACAAGCTTAAGTTACATTGTCAAAGTATTTTTTATTTCAGTAGAACATACATTGTACATGCATGCCTGTTTAAGACAAATGAGTATTTTGCTTCCATTTTCAACACAGAGTGGCAAGTGTGGGGGTGCAAGAACGGGGCGGGGACAGCCAATTCTAGCGTTATGGACATTCTAATATAATGTCTGTGACAGAGTCAGTTAACCATGATATGATTCAGAGAAATGATCCAAAACGCCTAGTCTGTAATCCCCCATTACTAGATGACGGGTATGTCAGATTTGAAAAATACATTTTCAAGTGTATTCACTGAGTTCTTATAAAATACCCAAATATGTCTGATTTGTAATGTCTGTGACGCTGGAATTTTGCCGCTGCGTTGCAGTATTTTTTATCCATTTAATGCTCCCAAGGAAGCAATTAAGAAATTGACATTTTCCCTCCTTCATCCTGACTGCAAACAAGCTTAGAAATCAGACACAAAAGCTGACTTAACGAACTTGCACATATTTTATACATTTTTAAGCTTAAAATGCAGTGTGCTAAATAACTTCACAAATCCACAATTGAATGCATTTATAGCAGAAAATTTGACAGAGAATTTTTGTGAAGACAAATATCGTCAACGGCCATAAAATGCATAATTTGTGACCACAGCCTTTGGAATACAACGGAGAGCATTGCAAAAGTGCTGGTCAGTCCTGTACATGTACTCAAGACAAATATGCACAGTGCACAGTTGTGAATTAGAATTCTGAATGCACAATTACGAATCCAAAATGCACATAAATTCTGTTTACATTTTACTCAAAGTATACTTGATGTAGTCAGCGATAGCGCTCAAGGCCTTGCGCATTCTGTATCCATTGAGTTATGCATGCGGTAGAGTATTACTGGCATACCCTCCCTTGCCCTAAGTACCAGTATCACTGTAGGGTAGCAGAGATGTGGCTCTGTCCAACATGCCTCTGTCATGTCAATGGACTCACCATATAAGGCACTGCCTGACACTTCAATGAACCCCGTTATGAATAGCGGGAATACTATGGATTTTTGTTCTCTGGAGACTAGGGCATGGAAAAGGATTGTTGAAATTCAATTTCCAATTATGAATTTGGTGTGTTCGCTGTCTAGATGATTTATTGAGAAATGTCAGTTTATTTTGTGTATTTATTTATTTATAGAAATTTTTTACCTAGGGTACGTATGACCAAAACTGGTTTCCATTGGGGCACTGTATAAATTCCACATTATCAAATAACGTTAAGCAAAGTAAAAGTCACAAGGAAAATGTGCATGAACAGACTACACACAGTTGCCTAATACTTAGGAAATATTTACACAATGGAAAGCCATACAAGTTTATACCAGTACCTGTAAAGCATGGGATGAAAATCCCGCAAAAAAAACTTTTGGAGAAAAAAAACAGGGACATTCCCTGTCTTTCCTGTGTAGAGCCTTTTTTTTATAATAGAAAAGGCTCTACTGAATTTTAATTTTAAACGCACTGACCACAGTTTTAACTCGCTGGCCACAATTTTTATTATCACATTACTTTAGATCTATTTTCAGATAAATGTCTAGAAATAAGCTACCTCTGTTATCTGGTGTCCCATGAATAGAATGAAATCTGGGGATTTAAATTTGATACGTACTTTAAAGTTATATAAAGTAAGCTGGTGTATTTATTTATAGTTTGAAGCTGAATTGATCTTATAACTATGCTTACTGTATTGACATTTCTAGTTCAAAGTGCACTTCCATAGCGTGCTACTTCTATTGGGATTAATTTGTGGACCCTAAACGGGCTCCACTGAAGGCACTCTGGTTAAAGTTGAAATGTGGCAAATGCTTAGTCACTTGTAAAATTTCCCCATGCTACTGAAATAGAGCGGTTTGAGCCTAGGGCCCAAAAAACACCATGGTTAATCCATTGTTATTTTTCATTTCTGTATTTTGTTTCTTTCTGGTAACGAAACCAAAGTTGTCCTCAAAAGCGACCCAGGCACTGTAGCTCAAAGCCGGAAGAAACCTGTAGAGGGAAGACAATGAGGAGAGTTACAGTTTAGAGGTGGGAGGAAAACCCCTAAAGAATATTCCAAGGAAAACCCATGGAATCAGGTAGGGACTGAAAACCCAATCCAGGTTCAGTTCTTGGCTATTAAAATCAGACGAACCCAAAACAAGACGAGGCAAGCCTAGAAAAGCTGGTCGCAGAGTGCACACAATTCTATTCAATTGATTCAGCACATCTGGAAGTCTTTTCATGCATCTGGTCTACACAATGGGCCAGATTTAGCCCATTCATTGGCGTCACAGGGTAATCCTATACAAAAGCACTGCCCAGCTCATGAGTGATAGTCATTAGTCAGTCAGCGAGATCGGGGCAAAGAGGACACTGGACTGGCCCTCACCCAGCTGGATCCAGCAAAAATAAGGTAAACCTACAAAGCGTCAATTGAATATGGATAATAAAAGTAATTGATAACAAATTTACGAACATCAGGAACTTGACATTGTACTGACAAAGATATCCCTTACAGTTTAAGAAAGAGCTCTGTAATACTTCGTTGACATCCATTGCATCATTGCAATTTGCATGAAATGTAGACGGACCGTTTCCTAATTCTCGCCAGTTTGGACCACCCAAGCAATATGGGTTGATTACATTTACAAACAAACCATCAACAAGATTGTATCAAGAGATTACGCCATTTTCCCCGGGAAAATGATGCATCATCCGCGCAGTCAAACCCAGTATTTGCACTTTTGACCTATTTCGACAATCACTACCGGAGCCTTTTTACACAACCCTACCTCTGTTGAAATCAACACGGGTGCGCTCTGAGCGTAACTGGGTCCCATCAGTGGTGGAACCAGGGGTGCGGAGGAGGTGCACCCCCCTCCCCCACCCCGGAAATTTTGTCAAGTATGGCCATTTTACATGAGAGAGCCCTTTTTGCATGAGGTGCCCCCCCCCCCCCCCCACACACACACACCCTCCGCCTGGCAGCCCATTCAGCCCATGGAACATGGGTGGTAGATAAAGGGTTACTGTCCACACTTAACATCATTTTTTAGACAGGTCAGCTGTAGAGTTTTGATTTTCTACCCTGGTAGAGCCTGCCAACCGTGGCCCTGACCAGGGTTGGATTTTACCGGTGTCGAGCGCTGGTCTTTGTGGAAGCCCTGTTGGATTTTTGCTATTAAGTGTGAAAAAGGGTTCCCGAAATTGCTGTGTTGGACCCGGGTCTAATATCACAGAGATTTTGGTTCCTGTGAAAGGCCCTAGTACAGTTCAGACCTGTGTGATGAAATAAACACACACTTCACTTTGGCCCAAGTGCAAGGTCACCACACAGATCCGAGCTTGTGTGTGACAGGCAGATATGGACCTATTGTATCAATACCATTGTTCCCCCTGGCGAATTCCTGTTATATAAAGCACCAGCACACAATAGCAAATCAGCTGTTGGGCATGTGACACTCAAGTGCCAGATAACGAACAACTGAGTCACCAAACTTTCATAACAAACTTGGCCTGCATTATAGTACTGTACGGTGTTGCAGATCTGCATGCTCAGAACTTCCAAAGGGTGAAATCAGACACAAAGTCAGCCCGGGGAAAAAACTGGTCTTGCACAATCCATTTCGGTTATCGCGTGCAGTGTGTCAAATTTCTTCACAACATTGAATGCACTGATTTACACAATGTGACTGAGAACATCTGTTTTTGTTTGTACAAATATATTATACAAGTCATAAAATGTCCGATGTCTTAATTTCATGTTTTGAGATGCAACCTGCATTCTGTGTTGGGCAATAACAATGATCAGTATTCACTCCATTCGGTTCGTAGGTTCTGGGGTTTTTCCCCTGTGATACTGGCTAACATTGTTTTTACCTATTTTCTTACGTTATGTCCTTTTTCCCTTAGTTGTTGTAAACACATTGACGGTCAGCGATACCGTATGTATTATGGCTGTTGCTATAAAGATAAGAATCAAACTGCATGGTGGCAAAGCAAATGCTTAAATCTTGAAAAAAAGAATGTACATGTATTCAGTCAGTTGAATAAGCTTCCAGTCTTTCACAGATCCCTGAATGAAAAGGATATCCAAAACACAGAAACTTGAGGAAAGTAGAAGTTACTTGGCCGGGGTAGTCCATATAGTTCGATGTTTTGACCATTGGGCGTGATTGGGAGTAAACCAGTAGATGATCATAACTGCTCACCCCAAAGGAAATGAATACATTTCCTAATGTCCAAACAATCCTTCACACCCAAGGATCAACAAACGATATTGGTCCCCAAAACTTACAATTGATTTCCTAACCCAACCCTATCAAACTTGACAGAGTGGAAATTAACTTATAATACGAAAACACCCGAACCCGTACACATTTGTACAGGTAGTGTCAGTCAATACGTAAGAGCGCCTCTGAATGGGATTGAGCCACCATTTATTTTCCTTATCCTTGTCTAATGACATGTAAGTTATTTGTTGAACATCAAACTTTTCTTTGGTCACAAAGTGGAAGTAACGCTGTAAACTGATTTTTAAAAAATGACAAAGATTTGTAGGCCTATATTTCGGATTATTAATGCATTTAATTCGAGAGCTGATTTTGCAAGATTATCCCTTGTGGTTGAGATAAGCCTCTTGGTCTGGCTAAGACTTTTAAAGATTTATCCAAGGCATGTTTTGTATTAACCCAGCCCATTCAGATCCTCAAAGTCCATCAGGAAGTTTGGGAGGATTTTACAGGACCGTAAAAAAAACCGTTATCTAGCCCAATCACTATTACTTTATGCAGGGCTTGTTACAGGAAGGAAGAACAAAGAATCTGACGTTGGTTTCCTGCTTCCTGCAAAGTGGAGAATTTTTGAGGATCCAGGAAGTTTTCCTAGAAAACAAAAGCGCAGGGAGCGGGGGGTTAAAGTCCTCTAACAACTTCATTTTTCTTCCTTGTTTGGGGTTTTCTTTCCAGTATATGTGGCTTTTTTTTTAAGCAAAACTCAGCTGGGTATTGGGTACGGTCTCCCTGAAATAGACGGAGGCTCATAACCATGTGCTTTTATTAGCACTTAAAAAGTAGGCATGGCAAGTGCTTGTGCCCTGGTCTGTAAAGGGGTCGGGGTCATCAGACAAACTTTGGAGAACAAGTCGGGTCCATATAAAGGCCTGTTATTTCGTCCCTACCCAGATCTTTCTGTGTCGGGTTAGACATTTTGTGCAGTTGTTCATTGTTGCTCTGGGCTGTGTTGAGGCTGTGTCAGTGTGGGCATATGTCCTTGCCATATTGGAAACTTTTTAAAGTTAACTCAATGACAGGTTTGCTCCCAGCCTTCTGAACAAAAGTAATAGGGCAAACAACAATCGTATATTGTAGTGCAACACAATGCAGAAAGATTTTTGGCCACAAAAGCACGGCGACTTTACAGTAATGTTTCTCTTCAAGGATACCGGTCCAATGAGAGTTGTCCAGTTATTGAATGAACCGGCCTACATTTTATAACAAATGGTTCGTGAAATCTTGCAAGCCTGAATGAAGGTGTGACTTTATAAGTAATAACCCTGTCTTCAAGATTATAAAATACTTTTCTGCACCATCTTGGCCTCATAGAAGTACTTTGTTTGAGAAAAATACAATAATTTTGAGCTAAATGTACCTACACTGTAGGCCTGAAAAGTCTATAAAATGTTCCATATGTTGATCACTAGTAAATTCAGTCTCTGTGTAAAGTCACTAATGTGTAAACAAGTTTGTGAGGGATTGACCATAGACAAGTTACACTGTACATGCATGTATACATTCCAAGACGTAACAAATTGTGCGATCTCCAGACAATCAAGCCAATAATATTCTTTGTCAAACTGCATTGTTGAAGAGGAGTCAGGACCACAGATATATCTCAATACGGACATTCCGAAAATGCCATGCTGATGAAGAATTTCATATCAAATTCTTACATTTCTGAAAGATCTTCATTCATCAACTAGTATAAAGAGCATTTAGGTGTATGCAACTTTTAAAGTCTTAAACAATATGACATAATGAATATACTGTTTTTCATATCACAAGCATTTAATTATACAGTGTTATTGATCATAATCAAGTGCCTGTCACCTTACACTCAAGAGTCACAGCTGCTTCAATTTCCAAGTCTTTGTCCAGAGACAAAGAACTCAGACCAAAACAGAAACTTCAGACATGACCCAGCGTGACCTTTCCAGTTTTCCATCACCAGCATACAAGCATGCATGGCTGTATATTTACCCTGTGTTATTAATAGCACTAACCCCACCGGTTCTGGCCTTATTAGAATGCCCTACATACCCGGGCTGTCCTACCCCCTGGCAGTGTGTACATCAACCCAGAGAGTGGCATTTTGTGTAGCCTTTTGTCTCTATAGTGCATGGGTAGGGGCCAAATAAGGTCAGATATTTTGACCATATGTTTTTGTTCTCTGTTAAAGATACACATTTTGCATTTCATTGTTGTCCAACGTCCAAATAAAGCAAGCATTTTGAAGTTGCACCCGTAGTACTTCTGGGTTCCAAATTGCAAAGGGTCAAATGAATTCCAATTATTTCAGCTGTTTCTATACTCGGGTCAGAAGTGTTTTTGTTGCCATTGAAGCAGTGAAACACAAAGCGTTCCAGTTTTTTTTTGCCCAGTGACTTGCATGTAAAGTCACTCTGTCACAGCTGTATGTATCTTTATCTACTACTTTGTAGAACAAAAATGGAAGAGAAAAAGTCAACCTCATCCCGTGTGTGATATCTTGTTGATTGTTGGAATGTTTTTGCTCCATTTTTGGACTAATTTCTGAAGCAACCTCTTCAAGATACAATTCAGTGTATAGCCTTTTATTTTGTTCACATTGCCATGCAATGAAATTGGTTGGAAATATCCAGGTTCCATTGGGTTTTTGCCCTTGTGATTGTGAGAAAAAAAATAGTAAAACTGCACTAGTAAGCAGGAGCTATGTCATAGATTCGAGTCCCACCCGAGTTCGAAGTTTTTGGGTGAATTTTTTGCAATACCCTGGCGCAAATTCCATCTTATGAATAGCTTACAATTTATTATTACAATTTGGAAAAAAATCCTTTAATGTGATTTGGAAGCTAGCTGTACCCTGTCTGATGCACTTTTGAACTCTGGCGCAGAAAGGGCTACGAATATGCAGTATGGTACCCCGTGGAGACCGTACCTTCATAGCTCCCTGCACTTGAGATAGACACCAGTTTTTCTCATGGCTAGGGGGGACAGTCTATAATGCCATGCCTGAGTGCCGACTCATGGAAACCTTAGACAGAGTCTGTAACCGTGGCTCTGGGCTGCAATATCACTTGAGCTGTGTGCCCAACCTTCACTGCTCTCAAGCAGCAGCGATGTAGGCCGGCCCTTGTAGTATAGTCTGCCTGGGAAAGTGCATATGCTGACCTGAGATTGAACTCCCAGCGTGTACTTAAAGGGGTTGCGCTCTTGCCTCTACCTCACATGTCCCATTGGTTCTTACTTTGACACATGTGCTCGCAATAGGGAAGGCATTTAAAGGTAATATATGCAACATTTGCAAACATCATAAAACACAACTACCAATTTATTATGAAATACCTTACTTGACTGTAAGTGAATAATAGTCGCAAGTATAAACCTGTGAAATCATGGCGTCTGGTGTGCTGTCATTCAAGAAAAGAGGAATTTTTGTATCATTTTTGAACGATGGCTGGCTGACCATCGTTGGAAAAAAACTGACTTTCTTCAAATATTGGCCCCAATTTACCAAATTTAGTTAGTCCACATTTGTTTGCAATCGATGACACATCCGTGAACAAGACAGCTTGTCTGGTTTCCTGACCTTACAATTCCCCGACGTCTATAAAATACTGTTTCACCTGAAGTAGGTTCAGGGAACCAGACTTCAAGATCATCATTTTTCCTTGGTTTTTCCCGCATCTGTGAACACAAAATTTTAAACAGGTCAGTCTTACAATATTTGCCATGAAATACTAACCCCAAAATCCATACCTTTTTGAAAATTACAGTAAAAGCAAATGTTGTATATTACCTTTAAAAGATAACCTTTTTAAAAATACAAAAAAAATGTCCAAATGTGTTCCTTTTTCCTTTGATGTTTACATAACTAATAGGGTTTGGTATTAGTTTGTCAAAGTTGGTTTGCACAGGTCGGATGTCCAGCTGATTTTTTGAGTGTTTTATGATTATTGAAATAAACATAAAATGACGGAAACTTTTACACATATCCATTTTATTTATCCATTGCCACCTAGTTGAAATCATGTGTTTTTATTTGTTTCCTTCTTACCTATAATATTTTTGTTGTGTTTTTTTTCCTTTTTTTTCTTTTCTTTTATGTTCTTTTTAGTTTTACATGGACATGGCTTGGACTAGACTGGTTCCTAGACACAGAAGTGATGGGTGCGGACCAAGTACATTTGATTTGTTTGGATTAAGTTTAAGAGTTGATATTTTTCTTTTCAAATTATTTTGTTTTAATTTCCAAGTTGTTAAGCTATTTCTTTATTTCTGTGTCAATGTTTTGTTCATGTTTATATCAATATTGATTTGAAATCTACTCTCTTTAATTTCCAAAGAGTGAAAATTTGCTCAGTTTTTTACAAAGTGAAAATGCGCTCCCAAGGACTGAAACTAAGAGCCGGACGATTTAGAGTGAAATTCATTAAATGAAATACGTGTGGGCTGGATTTTACTCTTATTTCCATTGAATTAATTCTTTTTTCAGAGTATTCAAATATAAAATGTGAAATTTTTGCTCTAATTTGGCTGCAACAGTGGCGTAGCCAGGATTTTTTTCATGGGGGGGGGGGCCTAGCATGTTATGAAGGGGCACCAAGGGCAGACCCAACAACAACATTTCCCCCAAATTTCCAGGCCGCCGCAAAGTGCTGCAAACTTTGTAAACATTCAATTTGTTAACATTTCATTCATACTACATTTTGTTCCTTGGCAAGCGGCACATTTCGGATGGGGGGAACATCTGGGGGGGGGGGGCCACTGGGAATTTGTAAGGGGGGCACGCCCTCTCGGCCCTTGACTCAGTACACCACTGGTCTGCAGGTTCACTGTTAGGAAATTAGTATGCAGAGCCCAATTGTATATTCAACTCTGGCAAAATTACATTTTAGAGTAAAAAAAAATATGAAATGGATTGAAATGAAATGGTCATTAACTGAAGTGTATTGTGCCTCTCACATAATTATGTGTAGATGTACACTTTACTGCAAAAACTAGACACACCACTATGTTCCTCTCACATACGGTATGTGTAGAAGTACACTGTACAATGTACTGCAAAAACTAGACACCAAATTATCTGCAAACCGTCCAACCGTTAAAAAGTTTCCAAAATTATATTGCAGGGGCAACCTGTATTATTTTCCACACATAAGTTTGTTTACTTATTCTCTATGCAACACTTGCCAGGTGAATGGCAAGAATTTTTATGACTTTTCCCAGCCTTCACAAATTCAGCTTTTTTTAATAGCAAGTATCTTGATTAAGGTGTGTGACCTTGACCTGCCCGTCCCGGTCCGGTGCTCACCAGAGTACAGATTGTTTTGTTTGGCGAGAAAAAGAAGAGAGAGTTCGTAGAACCTTTCCCTTTAAATTAAAGCCCTACCCATGCCGCGCCAGCAGCCCGACCGACCCGGCCCTAGTTCCCTGGGCATGGGATGCAGTTCGCAGCTAGGTGTCTGGAATTGCGATTTGACTTCTGCATATATTAACCATACTCATGTACACCTGCTGTGCAGACTGCATGTACATAGCTGGCCCGTTAGATTTGCATTGCATAGACAGGCTCGATCGATCGAGTCCAACCAAAGTACTGAATATATACGTTTGTGTAACAGCTCCAGTGTAATGCATTTGGTTTTTCATGGTTTTTTTTCTCTTCAATGGCGCCATGTTTTCAGCCTCCACCCAGTAATATTTTGTGGCGCTCCACAAATCTGCAAGTAACAGAACACACCTTTTTTTCACACCTTTCACATTTTAACAGAGATTTTGATTATTTTTTATGTTTATAGTTTAATTTGACTGGCCTCATTTTTTAGTGAACTTTATCCTTTGTTTTTACGGTAAAATTGTGCAATACAAAAAAATTACAAGTAGCTTGTTTAATTTGTTGCGAAAGACATACCAATCAGAAATAAAGATTCTGCAAAAGGATTGTTAATTACCATTTGTTTCATTGTCTTGAGTTCATTTATACATTTCTAGTAGAAGGGAGCTCAGGAGACCAACACGCTAAGATTGTTTGGGCTAAGCCCCCCCCCCCCCCCCCCGCAAAAAAAATGATTCAAGGATGACTGTCCCAAAAAAGAATCCTCGGCATTCATGCAATATTCCCAAATATGTTTTGCGCAGTGTAAACCTGCTTAGTGTTGCAACACTACTGCCACGCCCATTAAACAGGTTACACGAACTATTCGCTGGCCTGGGAATTTTATACCTGTCCCGTGAATTTATGAAATCATATTTCAGTCATCGTATGATCGTCGTACCACTAGTGAAACCAGACTGACGAGGAACAAAACCGATCAACTTTGACCCAACTCATTGCCCGACTCCCATAACGCGCGACGAATTACTGAATGTACCACGATACATTATCAATCATGTTATCATGTTATCGATTCAGACTGATACATTTGGAGAATGTTTCACTGTCTGTAGACACCGTACCGACTACAAACTTAGATACCAAACCGTTCCATATGCGCGTATGTATAAGACTTTAACGGGGCTCGCATATCAGCTGCGCCAAAATGGGGTTGTAGCATGATTTTAAAACAAAAGTTTTACTGGTTCTATTTTTTATTGTTTACGCATTGTTTCTTAATTGAAACCTTCATGTTTACTTACTTCCCCCTCGAATAAACAAACAAATAAACAAACTGAATGGTAAACATCGCCTCGTTAATATAATGCCGTGTCTTTACATAAGGTGATAAGTTAGCATACGGATTATACGCGATAGACTCCGACCCGTACTTTTTCTGTTCATGAGACATGCACGTGGCACGCTAAAATATGCAAACGTGGCGAGGCTAGGCGGTGCCTGTTTGTACAGTTCAGTGCTATGCTGTGCTGTACTACTAGTACTACCCTCAACCGTGTCCCGCCAGTTACCTTTGTCCCAGATTCTAGTTACGGGTTGAACAGTTTGGGCGTAGATTTGTTTTTAAATAAAAAGCAAAGCAACAAAAAATGATATGATGTTTTGACTGAGCCCCACCCAGATAACGCCAGATCGACGTGTTTTTTAGTCATCGGTTGCCGGCCGGTCCGCAATGCTGGCATGTCGTTTCCGTGAATGCATGGTGATTTTTCCGTGGGTGTGGATTTGGAAGGTTTTTGGTAAAGTAAGCTGGTATCGTGTGCACTATGCATATACATGTACATGTATATATGCAGCATGCCTGAAAGTTGAACGGGGCGAAAAACAATGAAACTTTACCTCGTCAAAACAAGGGGAAGTGAGGGCCACCGTGGATAAACCAACAAAATTAAGGGGCGTCCACTTGTTTTTAACATGGTGGAGACAATTAACTTTGTTTGGCGCGGGAAGTTTGTGTTGGCTGTTTGCGAGGATATTCATGACGTTACCTATACAGCAAACAGTACTAAAAATATCTCTGCAAAAACTGAGCACATGTACACAAATACATGTACATGTATGTCTAGACCTTTGTTGCAAGTCAAGGATCGTTAATTCAAGAAGCGAATACAATGTGCACATGTAGATATTTTCGCTTCTAATTCTACCTCCATGGTTACATAAAGTGGTATGTTAGCCATTCAGTACCAGACTAATTAAGCAAGAAGCAACGATCGTTAACATACGTCATGCAGGAGAATAATGACGCAGTAGATTTGAATAATCAAATAGTTACATCTCGTCTGACATCGCAACGGTTATGTAACCGTCGCATTCCGATCGCCCTGTACGCTCTTTTGTGCGAGTGGGAGATTAGGGGTCAGTGTACGGGGCCCAGCATGGCAGGAATTTGTGGTTTTCTGACCCGCCTTAAGACGGTGGGAGGCAGGAATGGAGGGAACAAAGAAACGGTTCTCTTGGTAGACATCTCAGGCTTCGTGAGTCATTGAATGTGGGGGTGGGGAGGAGGAAGAAAGTGGCCCTTTTGTGGTGGAGGGAATTGGCGAGTCTTTGTTCCCCCGTGACTTCGCTGCCGAGAATGCTGGTTGTGTTTTTCTAACTTCCTAGGTGGGCTCCATCAAACAAACAAAAAAATGGCAGGGGTCCAATTTCTTTATTCCACAATATTCAAGTGATTTTTTTGGAAAAAAATGTTGCAACCTGACGCCACTTTCTTCTTCATATATATTAAGTTCATTCATTGCAAAAATGATAAGACATGAATCCGGGACTGAGAAACATTTCCAATTTTGTTAGGAAATACTTCGAATATTTTCTTGACTCTCCATGGACTTTGTACACAACCACGGAAGGGGCGTCAGGTTGCAAAATTTTTTCCGATTTTTTTTATAATGGCGCAAAGTGATAGTTTCCCCCTATAAATGAATGAAAAAACGAACTGAATTCACAAGTGTGTTTCTTTTCGCCACATTGGCAACATGAATTTATTGCATTAATATTAATATAAAAAAATATACACTCTGTTATTTACAAATAATTAAAACATACAGTGAGGTATAACCTGACAAATAAGTTAACATTAACATTCATTCCCATAGGGTAAAAAAACAACCAAAAAACTGAGCATTACGATGACATAAATAAATAAAAAATAGACTTTCCAAATTCAAGCAAGCTCAAGAAAATTTGAACATTGAGAAAAAAATTGATTAAAAAACGAGTGAAAACAAGTTCAATAATCAAAAATTGAATGAAAACTTAGAACTTGACAAGTTTTTGATAGACATAATTAATATCGGTCTGTCAGGAATTTCGAACAACAGGTTTTTATGTTAAAACACATGAAATGCACCATCAACTTAAAAACCGTCTCAAACTTGAATGAATTTGGAATTTAAATAGAGAAGGGAAAATACTTCACAAACACCACATAAACTGTGCAGAACTAGACACTAAAATTAACACAGTTTCTACTATAACACCATTTCACTAAAACACTGGTAGATCCGGAAAAACAAAATGTTCTTCCTACAGTGAAACGGCAGCACCATATTTGGCCGGACAGCACAGAGGGATGTTTGCACAGGTTGATTCTATTATCATGGATCCACACAATTCTAGAAATCAAGGAAATGCTTCATCAGGTTAGCAGGATGTTTTCACCCAGTTGGTTTGATCTTGGGAACTTTGCCCAAAAACAAAGACTGTCTGGCAAAATGTTTTCAACCAAAACGCCCACTAACATATTGCTGCCAGCTTGCATTGAATACAAATTGTTTTTTTTTTCACGACACATTTACCCTAGGCAAGTGCACACATACACTCCAGTACATTGAGGTAAAAAGTCAGACACACAAGCCACATCAACCAAAACTGTTTCGACACTGGAAGGCACATTAGTTGTTGCACTCATTTGGTTAACATGAACACTAATATATATAGATATAAGTCTTCGCAAATACCTCAATGCACTGTCGGTGCGATAAATAAAATCTGACTTGCAGTTGAATGCTGGGACTTGTCTGTGACATAACTTAATAAAAGTATTGCACTTTGTTAAAAAACTCTAAAAATATGACCACAGTAATTGTTCCAAGAATCCATGAGTTCAAAGTCCTTCAAATTGGTGGATTGGCCAGCACATCCAAGTTTGGTGGTGGGAGGGATAGATTCTTGGTCAGCACTCGACCTCAAGGTAGAAGGACGGGCAGGTAGTTGTATCTTTAGTGCATGGGTCTGAGCATTGCATGTGATCGCTGGAAGAAGTGTTTGAGTCTCTGATTAGGTCCTCCTCGCTGGAGCTGGCGCTGCTCAGCGGCGACCGATTGATGCTCTCCTCACTCCCTGCCGACTGCGTGCACATCATCAACTGTTTGCCGTTGGCGTTGACGTCGCACTGTCCCTTCTTCATCCAGGGGTGTTCCAGAATCTCGTCCAGATTCAGTCTGTGCATAGGTTTGACTCGGAGCATGGAGCAGATCAGATGCTTCAAGGACTGGGAGATTCCGTCCTTGAAGACGAGTTCGGCTCGGCAGATCTCATCGTCCTGCTCAAAGGGTATGTCTCCACACGCCATGTCGTACAGCAAGATGCCCAGGGACCAGACTGTGGCAGGCCGGCCGTGGTAGCGATGGGAACGGATCCATTCTGGTGGGCTGTAGACTCGGGTACCTGCATAAAGCAACAAAATCAAAAAAAGGAAAAAAATCAATTATCTCGGATTTCAATCAAATTAAAGTTGTCATACAAAAGACATCAAACGTAGAGTTACATGTACTTGTTACAGTATCTGAGTGGGCGGTTTTACATGTGTAAACTGGTCAAGTTGCACTGCCAGGTTGGATCCCAATCCTTCATGCTTTGAGTGGGTGTTTTTAATATTGTGCAGAGCATATGGCAGTAACCATCCAGATGGAACAGAAATACCAGCCAACTGTAGTGACTAATGTCTGACTCCATGCCATAAAATTTAATTACACTCCAGGTAGCAGGTAGCATTTTTTCTTTAATTGCACCGACTATACCAACGCCTACTCACCATCAAAATCTTTGTAGACGGTGTCTTTGAGAATGGCCCCTGATCCAAAGTCGATCAGCTTCAGATCGCCAGACTTCATATCGACTAGAATGTTCTCGTCTTTGAGATCTCTGTGCAGGACACCGGCTTCGTGGCATCGCCGCGTCGTCTCCACAACTTGCCGGAAGAATTTTCGACAGAGCTCTTCTTCCAGAGGCCCCCGCTCTGTGATGAAATCAAACAAGTCCTTTGCAGGTTCGGGGCGCTCCATGACTATGATGAAATTGTCTGCTCTGTCATAGAAATCTAACATTCTGATGCAGCCCCGTATGTGGCTGACTTTCTTCAGGAGATGGACCTCAAGTGGGACTTTCTGGCCATTCATCTGGAAAATAAATAAAAACAATACAAGTTTTCATCAATTAAAAATCTTTGAAACACCGGTATGAGAACAAAGACAAGGTACAGCCGGTGTGGTAAAATACGCTCCATGCATGGAATGCAGGGGGCACATCACCGGGTTACCGCGCCACGTGTTTTCTATTGTTCATTGACACAATGGGTCGGACCATGCCGTCTGGCCCTGTGGATTCCATACATTCGTACAACTACAATCCAAGAAACAAAGACAGGCCAACTTGCCACCGAAAATGTGATCTTGAAAGCGAAAGATGAACGAACGTCTCTTTAACTGTGAATGGTAAATATCACTAGCCGGCCATGCCGGCATTTCCCCATCCCAGCTGGCCGGCTAGACAGGCATTCTTGCTCCGTGTACAAACTTGGCACCGTGCCATATGCATTGACAGGCACTACACGCACTGCATGCATTACGTGTTGTGTCCAACGTATGCCGGATGTCTTTGTTGAACGAAACACCGACAAAATGCAAAGCTTTTCACTAGACTCACCTGACTCCAATCGTTGACTTTTTCTTTCGTCACAAGCTTGATTGCAACCTGCAAAAAACCAAGAACATCAGATTAAGTGTTTGATTCCAGAATTTGGTCGGATACTGAAGATGGAGCGAAAAGCCGGTAAAGTTGTCTGAATTTTTGTCATGTTGTTTTGTACATGCTCAACTTACCGGCAAATTGTCTCGGACTCGAGTGCCGGCGTAGACGGTTCCGAAGCCTCCACTTCCAAGCAGTTGGCCGATTGCATAGGTCTTCTCGAAGGATTCTTTTTCCTTCCCTGTTAGAAAAGAATTAAAAGAGATCAGAATTTAGCTGAAGGAGAAAAAAGCCGGTTGGTCTGTGCATGGTGACAAATTTGAAAACTGGCAACATCGATCGTACGAATCGGACACAAAAATCTTACCATTGCGATCACAGCTGTTTCGCCCCATGTTTTTCACGTTCATAGAACAGATCTCGGCGAATTGACTGGTAATTTTCCTCGAGAAATTCATCCTTTGATAGTGATCCTTTGCCTCAGAACCACCAGATCGACACAAATTCTGTGCGTTGTGCTCAGCTAGCTCACACTCAAACGGCCTGAGTTCATCTGGCGGTTATTTGCTCGTACCGGCTTTTTTACGTTCGTTCGTGTATTTTGTTTTCATAATCATCTCGTGCAGTGACGTACTCTAGCAACCGCCCATATCAATCCGCATCGTGAAAGAACCTTTCAAAGGTCACTGGGTTCAGGTTTTATTAAAAACAGATATTTCGGCCCAGTATTCTTGATAGATATGATAAAATGTAGTTTGGCAATTACTAAGTACACTTTAAAAAAAAATGCAAGTTTTCTTTGCGCGAAAATGTTTAAATTCTAACGAGCACTATGAAATAGTTGCGGATGCATACTTCCCAGACACACACAGAGTCAGTGGAGGACAGAGAGTAATCCGGCTCGGGCGCGCCAGTGTGTGTTACATGCACTGAAAATCCGCTTCGTCACTGCACTCATACATGCTTCGTCATTTCACAGCCAACCAATCGAAACCGTGGTATTTACGCGCCCTGTGTAACTGCATGACGCATGTTGACTTGGCACAGGTAGATCTCGCAACTCATATCATGGAAATTTTGAACAATTTTTCCAGGACGCAACACCAAATTAAATTATTGTGATTCACTGTCACTCCCGAGTTTGCTTAACTTCTATTTATGCCCGCACAAATGTCCTTCCCCGTTTATGATATTAAAAACAAAAACAAATTAATCAGGCCAAAAGTACCCAATCATGATATGATATTGCCAAAGTGCGGCAAATATACACCGCGTGTCCAAACATTATTACTTCAGTTTGAAAATGCATAAAACTGCTGCAAACTGCTCACTGACTGGAATGTCAAAAAGTTAGAGGACCCAATGTTTTGGCCTATTACTTTTAGGCAAAATTTCTTTGGTCTATTTCCAATTAAAATATAATCTCAATTTATGGGATTTATATAATTTACATACCGTGTGTATTTTTCACCTCATCTATGTTTCAGTCAGTAAATGTATTGTTCTAAAACATGTGATCAGACGCGGGAAGCTGTTGACCTTAATAACACCCCCCCCCCCCCCCTACCACTAAATAGATACCGTCGCGTCTGGGTGCGGGTAAATTTACATGTTATAGCCTCAATCAAGTCGCTATTAGCTTATACGTAAACATTATTGGTATCAGACATCACAATTAGTCATGCAGCCAAGACTTGAACAAAGTCTACAATAAAGGGCACCTGGATATTGTGTGAGACCGGTACATATTCCCGCGCTCCGGCGCACTGGGAGGGCCAAAGTAACAATGCCAAGCACCGTAGATTGGATACGAGGAATGTGAGAATTGTTTGCCCTTGTTGTACACTGACCTCCGTCTGCACCCTGCTATACAAACAAAGCAACGCCCCGTGTAGGCAACCTGTACCAGGCCCTAGCTCTCGGTATCGGGGACAACTTCATCGTGAACTTTCCCACAGGAAAACTTTACATGTTCCCTGACTACACCCATTTTATCACGGGTAAAAGGCCCTCACTTAAAAAAAAAACGGTTTACGTGGTCCTAAAAAGTTATTATAAAATAAATTGATACATAGAATTAAAAAGAAAAGGCCTAGACTGGGTGACGGGCGTATACGTAGTGCCCTTTTCTTAGGGAAACAATACATTGCAAAGAAAATCTTGGGCTTGACATTATCGAAACACCATAAATTGATGATAAAATAACATGTTTTTGTGGTAAATATTTATTTAGCGCAAAAAAAAATTTACTAAGTTTTCGATTGCCATAAAATACTTCAGACAAAATAGGGCCTATGTATATGGAAAGAAATTAAAAAAAAAATCTACCCATAATTTAGCCTTCCGTTTAGTAACGAGTATTTAAGATGACTTCTGTATAATTTCATAACGCACAAATTTCATAACGCGCAAAATATGGCCGGCCCTGCGTGGAAGTCTTATGAAATTTATTGCAAAACAAAAAGAATTTATTTCAAGGTGAAAATGGCTTGTTCTTTCATAATATTGCTATTTTGATTATTTCAATTTTTGAAATGAATAATGCGCGTTTGATAGTCGGCCTTCGTAACGGTTTTATAATTATCAATTAGTTCTTATCATTAACAAAATTCTTCTCGTAATTGTGGTACGACAGATTTTTCGTAAAAAGCAGTTCCGGCATGCATTTACAGACGTTAGTTTGTTTACATCGTATACGCACAACCAGTGAACGTCAATGTTTTGGTTCGTAAAAGACAGTCTTAGTTTTCCCGCGTCTCCAGGACATCGATATCGTCTACGGCAACCGTCGCCGTACACACACCTTGTGTTTACGTTTTTCAACCGTCGCATGCGACACTTTGGACTTTCGCCAGCTAGCGAAATATTGTCTCACGGTAACTACGCAACCAGACGATCAGAGAATTTGCATTACAAAGAGCAAGCGCGCACCTGACTAACTCAATGGAATTTTTTCGTGCTCCCGCAGCGCCGGCCGTTTCAAATTTGCCCAGGCGTTGCAACCGACGTTTCAGACTAATAAGGTATTTTGTGGGGGACCGTTGAATGGGTTGATATAAAAGAACTAATTACAAATGAAAGCAATTGTCATGAGAAATTAATTGTCTCAGAGAAACGATGACAAAGAAATTATTAAAAAGTTTATAAACAGCATCAGAGCAATTAACTCGTCTTTATATTTAAACAGCACAAAATGAACGGTTTGGTTTGTTGATCATCTGTTATGTATTTCGTTTCTCCTCTCAAAATTTAAGCACAATAATTTGTTTATATTAATAACACAATTGTCATTAGAAATTAAGTGTCCGGGAGAATGATGACAATGAAATGATTAATTACAGTTTAAAAACAGCATCAGAGGCTTCAGAGCATTAACCTTTTTTAATTTAACGGGAAAAAATATGAACGGTTCTGGTTCGTTGATAATCATTGCCTAGTGTTATATTTCGTTTCTGGTCCTCTAAATTTAAGTGCAATAACTTGTTTACATAATTAAAAATGTACGAGATTTGTCCATACAATAATTAGATTTCTTAACAATTAGCAGAAATGTATAAACAGTGAATGCAATCTGGCATATACAGTTTTCACGGAGATGACCAATGATTCAATCGTGTAGTTTGGGGAAAACTTGCTAAGAATATTGCGATACATTGTTTTATTTCCAAATTCAATTGGCAAACGTGGTTATTTACTCAACGACACCCCCTCCCGGTTCTTGCAAAATAAGGTTTCTCTCGTGTCAAGAAATTAGGCCTTTCCCGAAGTTTCGAAAGTTCAACCTAAATCCTGTTTACAAACACAAGCTGAGGGCCTACGCGAGCTACGTGGAGCCGAGCCAAGAATTTATCAAATTTAAAAGGTCTTCTACGAGGAAACTGAACCGGACCCACACAGCGTGAAAATGACGCCGCCACACACGAGCTTGCACTGGGGGCAGCGTCCCAGATCCCCCTAGCGACCCTGTCCCATTGAGGGGCTTTCCCGCTAAGTCGTTCAATATTGTGTCGTGATAATTATCCGGGTGAAGTACGGTGACGTACTGACGTAGATAGTTTCCATGGCGCATGCATCACTTAATGTTTATGAGCGCCGTGTTTTGGACTTGACAATTATTGTGGACTAAAAGAAAACAAAATACAGGCGTAGGCTAGGCCTATACAATGGTAACGCCCGAAAAGTTTCCCCCGCCCTACCAAAACAAAAACGATCCGATATACAGATCCGGGTCATGTCCGGGTGAGGGCGCTATTTACAATTTCTTCAAATGTATTGATTGAATTATGAAAGAAACAGAAAGTCAGTCCGTTTCGATTGTCACAAAACTCGAAGATGTGATACGAGTTTCAAGCTTATACGCTCGGAATAAACATAAAACATAACATTTTCTGACACTGAGCGATGCATCGATGTGAGTTTTGCCAAATGTATACGTTAAAACGAATAATAATTAGTAACTATGTTATAAAGTTTTGCCCCCCCCCGTCTTCAATTGCGTACAATTGGTGTGTGTATAAGCCTCATACATTGGTTTCAGTATTCGAATTGTTCCAGTATTAAACCTTGATCGGAATGCCGACCCGTGTTCTTTGAAAAGGAAAACGGACACCTTAAAAACAAGAGTCATGTCCTTTTCAGAATCATCACTTTTTTCCGATAAAAGTTACTTCCTCGTCAGATGGTATCTACTTCGGACATCTGTCGTATCAATTCGAGGTCATAGTTTTTAACCCCTACACTACCTGTAGAATGGCACGCGGTATAGTCCCTCTTACTGAAATATAACACCTTATAGTAGTTATGCATGGATGTACAATGTAGTTGGAATTGTACCAGGAATTGGAACTGTACAACTCCACCCCACACGAATTTCAGCGAAAAGTTTCCACCTCCGTGAAGGGCGCTGGGCACTGCCGGTAGGGTAGGTCTATGGGTAGGCCTATTACCGGCTATTCAGACCTTCGGGGGAAAAAAATCCGGTCCAGTGTTCGTTGAAGATACCGCGATCTTCTGAATAAGTGTTTACATCACATTCATGAAATCAGTGACGTCAAGGGAGGAACCGGGACTGTTGGTCCCTGAAGATTAGTAGAAATGCTAAATCATGGAGGAAGGAATAGTATTAGTAGAAAATCGTGCACGCGGGTACCGAGAAAACCGGCTTTTTTAGGGGGGGGGGGGGTTTCCAAAAATTAAAAACCGGATTTTGAAGCAAAATTACAGCAAATCATATTTTTTTGTTTTGATTCTGCCAGTAATTACACATTATATAATTTAGTTCCAACTTTTCCAGTCAAAATAAGATTTTTCAAGTTTTGACAGCTTTTTGGCCATTCCTGCCCCCCGGCATTTTGCAAATTTGAAACAAACAGCTTATAGTATAGTTGGATGGATGATGATGTAAGCAACCCAACATAATAAATTTATACAACCCCTTTTTCAGAGAGTTGTAGAAGGAAAAGTGTTTTCTCCTAAACATAAACTATACATTAAAGACAAAAATTCGTTAGGAGAATTTGTTGGAGTACTGACAGGAGATCGGTTTGGGTTTTTTTTAAGTAGCGCGTACTCTGAACTATTTTTTTTATAGCTTCGTAAAACTGCATAACAAAAAAATGAGTACAATTCGTGCATTCACATTATTAACATGATGAGAACGTGCTTCCGTCAGTGAAGACATTCCACCTGCGACCTTGTACAAAATTGAAGCCCCTCTATACGAGTCCAGTCCGCATGCGTAAAGAGGGCAGGCAGGAGGAACATTGCTTGTCGTCATGGTAACACAGATGGGATGCAGCATCACCAGGGGAGGGTCAATGAAAGAAGGACGCGCGGGGATGTGGTGCACTCCATGGCAACGAGCCAAAAGCATAATCTGGGGAAAAAAATCTGGACATAATATTGACAGGCTTGAAAATCTGGAAGGTCGTTTACTCGTTTAATTAATAATATTAAGCAAACGAATGAGGATTTGTTAGTACAGCGGATGGATCGGGTAGTGGTTTTCTTTTGGTTGTTGAAACAAAATGTCCCGTAATTTTGTTTTGCCCTAAGAAACTTCAACTCAAATCGGAGTCACTTCTTCCGGGATGCGTTCTTTGGGCTCTGAAATGCCTTTCCCACGAAATATTATAACAGAACAATAGTTTGAAGATCATCAAAAAGTAGAAATTATTAGTTTACTTAACCAAAGCGGTTTCGCAACGCGTCAAGAATTTCAAGGTACAACATTTTGGTCCTCGAAAATCGAGCCGTTTCATGCAATGCAAAAAAAAATGCAAGTCATCACACTTTTTTTTTTTGGTCAGAAAATGAATGCTCGTTGTTTTCATTGTTTTGAGGTTGCTGCTGGATAAATGTCAGGTCTTCACATTCAAAACTCAACTTACATTTTTATCGAAATGATCAAAGTCAGGCTTCACATGAGTTATTCGCGGCTTGTTATTTTATGGCTTGAATTTAGGGGGGGGGGGGAACAGGCCAAAATACTCCCACGTCAGATGTAAACAACTAGGGGGTTTTCAGACCTCTGTACTGGCAACTTATATTTTAAAACACTATATTTTTGGTAAACTCCGGACGAATGTATACCTTTAAATTTGCCGGGGGTGAGTGGGGATGGTCTGGTGCTGCGGGGGAATTGGTTTGCGCATTTCACAGTCAACTCTCTTTAAAAAAAAAAAAAAATGTGCCTTTTACAGCCCAGGTTGGGAGGGAAGGCCAGCGACAAATTCCGGTGCAGGTCTTTTAGGATTGAAAGGCAAGCACAAGAACATTTGCATTTATCCCAAAATTAACCTAGCAAATTATTATCAAAAAGCTCATTTGGATTAAAGATCGTACTGGTACTAAACACCCTGTGCACTTATTCCGTCTGGCTTGCTGTCGTTTAGAAGAAATCAAGAAATTAGTCTATAACTTTCTTGTTTACATTGAAGCAAAATATTTATAACAATTTTCATCCTTTTTAGGATCCTCACAACAGTTTTCAAGTTTCAAAAACGAAAAAACAAAAATTGGAGACAGACTTTATTCAAGTTCATTGAGAGAATTATATTACATTCATCGCCTCAACACCGGCATTCAGTTAAGGTAATAACTGAACTTTTCCAAAATAATACTCTCCAACTGTATTTTGGTATACTTCATTTGTCATCTGCACATCTGAATCGGCATATATCGACACAAAAATAAAATTCATCAATAAAATCGATGAGCAAAAATTGTCAACAGAAGTTTGATTTTGATTTGTAACGACAGGAAAGGTCCTTCTGTTTTAATTTTCTCCAAAGAAGGCATCATTTTGAGTTCATATGTTTAAAATCAACTTAGAAATAGGTAAGACATTAAGACTTTATCTCTAACCAAAGTTTCAAACAATAGACATACTTGCCTTGACTCTGATTCGTCTTAAAATTCTTATAAAAGTTCATAAAAAAAATTAATTAAAAAAATGTCAGCATTTGTGTGGCCCATAATATACCACTTGTTAAAAAAAAATAATATTTTTAGACGATTTAATTACAGTACTTAATATCATCTCCGATAACTTTCCCCCTTTCCTTTGTGTGCTTAATTTAGCCAAAGACCAGGGAAAATGAAAGTATCACAAAAAATGCAAACAATTGACGTATCTCAAAAGTAAACAAACAGAACATCTGGCAATTCAATTATCCACCCTTTTGTTCTTGTGGTCTCAATATATTTTCTTTTTAATATTTGAAATAACAATAATTAATAACAATAATTAATACATTAGTCAGTTTGACCTTTATCTCAGCTATTTACAAATTATTTTGCAATTAAGTAAATTCATATACGGCAGTTGTCACCAAATTAAACTGATTTAATGAATGAAAGGTTTGCGGAAACACCATGTGCGAATAATCTCTCAACCAAGAGATTGGTTCCAAAAAGAACCAGAGGTATAAACTCGACGTTCCGGTCAGTATGCTCTGACCGTCTTCAGGAGAGAGACTTTCCTGAAGACGGTCGGAGCATATTGACCAGAACGTCGAGTTTATACCTCTGGTTCTTTTCAGAACCATTCTCTTAGTTGAAAAATAATTTCCACATGGTGTTTCCACAAACCTTTCATTCATTAGTATCTCCACCAGGCAAAGCCTCAATTCTTACTTAAACTGATTTATAAGTTTCAAATATCAAAATATATATATTTATTCATAACCAATTGATAATGTCCTTAAACAATGAAATAATTTCTTTAAGACGTACTGATGACTCCACTAATTCCATGACAATGGGGTATGAAAACAGACAATTTTTTTTGCGGTCCATGGTCACTTGAGGGTGAATCCTGCATGTACATGTACACATGCATGTACACATGGGTGGGCCGTCACCGCGTTATGGGGAAGTTTTTTATTGTTAGGCAATTTATGACCGAGTTGTGGGGACTTCCTAAAGTCGCCATAGCGTCTTCGGTCCCCATACTACCATTGGACAACTTGTGTAGTACCCACAGTTACCAAACAAGTATGGGTGGGTAGGCCTACACCGCGTTATGGGGACGTTTTTTATTGTTAGGCAAATTAGGACCGAGTTATGGGGACTTTCTGCTGTCCCCACAGCATTTTCGGTCCCCACAAATACCTCGTGGCGACGAGTGTATGTCCCCACAACTACGGAACAAGAAGGCGTGTGTTAGCGGGATTTTTTTTTTTTCACCTGATGCAATCAGTTCTTAAAAAGTGCAGTCAAGCTGCAATGGTAGAGGGCGCTATATACCAACTGATTCAAATCCAGACTTCCGAACTTGGACACAGGGACCCAGAAATTCCAAGCATTCCCCCAATAAAGGCACATATTAGCTTGAATACAGCATCCATGAGGTATGCTCGTATATTCTTGGGTCCACAGCAACTTCCGAGATTTGTATTTTTCGGAGATTTGTATACCCTGGGTACCCATTTTTTCTTCAATTGGGTACCCGGTTCCTTACTACCCGTAAATGCATTCCCCGAGTTTTGACAGAGAATCACCATCATTAATTTCCAATTTCAGGGCGTGTAGATTAATCCTTGTTCCCAGGATTTGTTTGGCAAGCCACCTGAGCTGAAGTCAATTATCTGGCCCGACTCTCCTCCAACTCGTGCAAGAACGTGTTGACCAGTGGCAAGGTTTTCCAGTTGTCAGTTGCTATGGCGACCACTGTCATATCTTGTTTAGCAGTAATTTTCAGCAGCAGGTGCCACGATGGTGGAAGAAAGATTCCTATCCTTGAGGTGTCATCCTCTGTAAATGAAACCACCAAAAAAAAACACCCAAAAAACAAGCAATTTTTAAAATGTCATTTTCATTTTCTCCTTGAAGGCATCTCAAAAGTCTGTGGAATCCCTCATTTCTTTTCTACTTTTTTAGAGAGAAGATTATTATTAATTTCTTTGTGTGGAGGAGATTCATGTTTGAGAAACCGAATATTCAAATTCATAATGCACTTTTTTTGATAGAATTCGGGAAAAACCTGACCAACTTTGCAAAAAATGTTTTGGAAGAAAAACCATCTCTCAGGGTTTGTTTTTTTTCCAGATAGGCGAATCACTGAAGGCTTAATACCACACATGACTTTATATCTTTTTCATATTTATTTGAGAGTCGAAACATCACGACCTCTTGTTTCCTTTTGTATTTTTCATGTCAGTCCAGTCAGTAAGCAGTTTGCACCAGTTTTACTATATTTCTCATACATCTCATACTCAGAATGAGTTTGTTAGAGAACAGTTTACATTTCTGAGGTGAAGAAACCATGCATAAAGTAGACACAGATATTTGCTTCAAGTCTCAATAAAAAAAAAGGATAACATGATAAAATCTTGGTCTTTGCAACTATATGGGCTCCGTGTACAAGTACCCCCTCAACAGTAAGGAAGGGAGAGTTGGGGGAGACCACTGTACTGGGAGAGACATTCGAACGTATCACTGAAGACGCCTGACTCTCGTGCGAAGACGTTATGGCTGTGTGCGCATTCAACATAAAATAAGTTGTGCGTACTTTGTGGCATACACGCGCAAACCAGTACGCGCAAGCGGTGTTTCCCGTCCACGGGGCTCTCAAACGTGGTAAAAAAGCGCCCTCTGTTGTTCACGCACGGAGCCCATTCACGTACACCCATGTCATTCCAACTAGTTGAAATTAACTGCAGTTCCATGTAATACTCGAAACCTGATTTTCTTACCTTTGTCAACATGATCAATTCTGTACTCTTGTAGTTGGTTTTGTATTACTTCCAACATGGCCGTCTTGTTGAGCAGTAACGTACAGACCGATTCAGCACACGTTTTGCTGCTGAAATACGCAACAGAGAACAATGCAGTGTTAAGGCACCATACATACATTAGAATAATTGCCTTGCTTGGGCAAGACAATGATGATGTATGTCAAAATAGATGTCATTCCAAATCATGTTTTAACTTTCGTTATTCCATTGAGATTAAACAGTGAGCAGGTGATTTTCATTTAATGGTAATATAAAACATTTGCAAACGTCAGAAAATAAAACTACCAAATTATTATGATTCATACAAATTTGACATCAAGAAACATTCGCAGCGAAATTTTAAAATGTTTGTTTTTTTGGCCATACAAAAGCATAATTTGTATATAATTAACTACCTGTGATCCTTTTGGGTCGGGTCAGATTTGGGGAGTTCAGATAGATTTCGGTTTCGATTCGGTTTATATCTATAATGTTTCGGGTTGGTTTGGCCTGATCAACCCAACCCGATGCACAGCATTACTTCAGAAACCGTTAATCGTAACCCCCTTGTTAAAGGAAAGTGAACGTCACTTCTTTGGTATATAATGATTCTTAAATGATTGTGGGTATGAACAGTGCACACAAAAAATAGGGATGTAAATACTCTTAAAAGACTGGGGCCTGCCAACCCCCTTCTTTTGAAATCTTAAAACCCTTTTTTTTAACGACATGACAGCTTTAACTACCTGTGATCTTGCATATACTTCCACAAGTCGTCAAACAATCCTGGTCTGTTGGATGAACTGACAGGCAGAGGCAAGAAGAGATCTGAGAACTGAATGTGGACTGGAGAGAGACTACAAGTAGACGTCTGGCCATCGGCTGTCATAAACACTGTGCTGGATGCAGAGAAAGATCAATTACAGATTAAAAATAACAATTTTCTTTTTCTGAATACTTATGTACATTTGACAAAAATAGGATGCGTCTAGTTCAAAATGTCCGGAAATGACAGTCCTTTGGACCAAGTTGAATGCATGCCATGGAGTGCTTACCTGACAGGGACTTTTGATGGCACAGTTGTAGTGATTGAATCTGTCATAAGGTCAGTCAATTACACAGGTCTTCGTGGCTAGATACTAACAAGACCAAATGTTTTGATGCGGTTCTAATGGCTGAATCTTTAAGTGCTAACCTGACAGGGAGTTTTGATCTTTGTAAAGGTTCTAGTGGTTAAGTAATACTGTGGCATGTTGTGTTCACGACACAGGTTCTAGATGTCAGGTACCAACCTGACCAAGAGTTTTGATGGTACAGGTTCTAGTGCTTAGCCGACCAGATGAGTTTTAATGACACAGGTTCTAGTGGTTAGGTACTAACCTGACAGGGAGTTTTGATGGCAAAGATTCTAGTGGTTAGGTACTAACCTGACAGGGAGTTTTGATGGCAAAGATTCTAGTGGTTAGGTACTAACCTGGCAGGGAGTTTTGATGGCACAGGTTCTAGTGGTAAGGTATTAACTTTACAGGGACTTTTGATGGCATATGTTCTATTGGTTAAGTGCTAACCTGGCAGGGAGTTTTGATGGCACAGGTTCTAGTGGTTAGGTACTAACTTGACAGGGACTTTTGATGGCACAGGACACAGGTTCTAGTGGTTAGGTACTAACCTGACAGGGAGTTTTGATGGCAAAGATTCTAGTGGTTAAGTACTAACCGGGCAGGGAGTTTTGATGGCAAAGATTCTAGTGGTTAGGTACTAACCTGGCAGGGAGTTTTGATGGCACAGGTTCTAGTGGTAAGGTATTAACTTAACAGGGACTTTTGGTGGCATATGTTCTAGCGGTTAAGTACTAACCCGACAGGGAGTTTTGATGGCATATGTTCTAGTGGTTAAGTACTAACCTGGCAGGGAGTTTTGATGGCACAAGTTCTAGTGGTTAGGTACTAACTTGACAGGGACTTTTGATGGCACAGGTTCTAGTGATTAAGTACTAAACTACCCTGACAGGGAATTTTGATGGCACTGGTTCTAGTGGTTAAGTACTAACCTGACAGGGAGTTTTGATGGCACAGGTTCTAGTAATTAGGTACTTACCTGACAGGGAGTTTTGATGGCACAGGTTCTAGTGATTAAGTACTAAACTACCCTGACAGGGAATTTTGATGGCACTGGTTCTAGTGGTTAAGTACTAACCTGACAGGGAATTTTGATGGCACTGGTTCTAGTGGTTAAGTACTAACCTGACAGGGAGTTTTGATGGCACAGGTTCTAGAGGTTGGATCTGTAAGGATATGACTTGGCACGTATCTGATGGTTGTTGAGATTCATCCAGCGTGAGGCAAGACAGTGACACATCTGCAAAACAAAATCATGAAATAGGGGTTTAACACACAGCCATACTGTATTTGCCCTGAGTAGGAGTACCAGTGTGAGAACCTTGCTATGAGTACGAGTACGAGGGAATTTTTTCCATGAGCGCGAGTATGAGTACATTTCAAGGATTAGGACGCATGTAAAAAAGAAGTTGGCATTTGGTACGGTGCTCTGTGCAGGTACATGTACCTGTACACATATTCAACTGTTTCTTTACGTATTTATTTATGCTGGGAAAGCTATTTATTATTTATTATTTCTGATAGGAAGGGTTGGAACCCCAACACCACACTGAAAGGTCTTTTCTGTTAGACAAAACCATTTTTTACCTGGTATTTCCTTATAGCTCTTTGGGATGTCAACATGTAGAACCAGTGAGTAGAGTTTGTCTACAGATCGTGTGGAGCTTACCTCCGTCTGGAGAGACAAAATGTGCAAGTTTGAAATTTACTCCAACATACATGTACACGCTTTTTAGTTCCATCCAGAGTTGTTATCAGGCTATCACTTGTCATCACTAGTCATCACAAGCATCACAAGTCATCACTAGTCAATCACAAGTCAATCACAAGTCATCACAAGTCAATCACAAGTCATCGCAAGTCATCACAAGTCAATCACAAGTAGTCACAAGTCAATCAGAAGTCAATCACAAGTCAATCACAAGTCAATCACAAGTCATCACAAGTCAATCACAAGTCAATCACAAGTCATCACAAGTCAATCACAAGTCAATCACAAGTCACCGCAAGTCATCACGTCAATCCACTCCCAAGTCATCTCACAAGCTATTCAATTGAGCTGTGACAAAAGCAAGGGAATCAAGTTGGCAAAGTGGGTTTTTTTCGCTGCCCACCTTTCGGGTCGGGTTTGATTCCTGCCCTGGCCCACATGTGAATTGGGTCCTCAGTCCCTACCTGATTCTTTGGGGTTTCCCAGAATATTCATCTGGGGTTTTCCTCCCATGTGTAAAAACTGTAATTTCTTCTCATTGTCTTCTCTGTCTTCAGGCTTGCAAGCTACGGTGCCTAGAGAACTTGTGAGGAATCCTTGGTTTCATTACCACAAATAAATGATTATCATAATAATAATTTCTTTGTTATTGTTCATCACCTCTTACTTATGAATTAACTTGTAATTTGACTTGTGATAGAATTGTGATTTTCTTTTGATTGACTTGATAACAGCCCTGGCTCTATCTATCCTATTTTTCTACTAATTACTACCAGGAATGCACACTTAATTTCTTTTGAATGTACATGTAATTCATTTGTCCATCTATATGGGTCTGAAAACTGACTATGTTTGATTCAAAGTTTGATTTTAGAATTCGGAAATCAAAGACAACAGCAGTAACAGTGTGTTAAAAATTCAAGGGTGGTATTAGACAGTTTAGAATGAACAGGAGAGTGCTATACCAACACTCACAAAATGCAGGTAGTAGTCCATGTGAATGACAGGTGGTTTCTGATTGGACTGCAGATTCTGAAGGTACTGCTGACAATTAGAGCAAGCAAATGTCATGTATTCTGGTCTCCTCTGAATCCTGTAAGTAACAATAGAAGTAAAAAGGGGATTAAAGGTAGAGTAGATCATTTGTCATTTGTGCATTCGTTTGAAGCAACAAAAGTGCTCAAAATCTGAAGACGGGTGCTTAACAACTAACCTGATGAAGTCTTAGCTCTGTGTTAAAGCTGTATATTCCGAGAAAACAATATTCTAGGATCTCCATTTCAATTCAAAAGTTGCCGAGTTATATTTTGAATTGTGCCCGAAATCAGCATCAGGAACACGTTCTTATTCAACCGACTGCAGCTACGCGATGTCGCGCACTGACCCGACGAATAATAACAACCACGCGCACGCGTGTGTGTCGTGTCAACCCTTGATCTGATACACCGTACCCTCTGAAGACACGCACACAATAAGGAACAAAAGATTGTATACGTCTCCACAGGGCAATTTCTATAGACGAATACATCTCCACAAGGTTATAGATATATGGACTAATAAATCCTCCAAAACTTGGAATTTCCAAGGTATGTTGATCTGTCGCAGATGGAAGAGATTTAGAAAAGGGACATTAAGTCCGAATTTCAGCCAAGGAAATTAATTCTGGTTAAAAATTAATAAAAGCATTTTGAAACTACACTTTCAAACTCGAAAACTTTAATACACGAGAACAAAGAAATGTCTCCACAAGGATACAAATAACAGAATCCAAACGTGCACCCATTCACAGACTTGCCCAAGTACAAGCCAACTACAAACAGAATTTCCAAAAATGCGTCACTTGACTCATCTTTAGAAATGACCTTTCCTGCTTTCTGCTAAATGACAGCATGAAGGAATAATTACACAGGGATTTTAGTGCCATTACTAACTTTAAACCAAGTTAGCTTTTTAACAATAATTTGGTCAGTTACGTTTTGGATAGCGGCAAATGATCTACTCTACATGTACCTATAAATGAACTCAATTCAATTTCATGCATCTGTAAAGTATTAGGTTATTTTCTTTGCCAAGATAAATATTCTCCATGTCAGGGAGGCCAAAAGGATTAAGCAAAATACTAATTTGGCAGCATGACGTGGTTAGTGATGCACCAATCAAAATTCTCTCTGATGGCACAAATATTCTCAAAATTGGTGGAAAATGGTTAAGGTTGACACGACTACAGCTTGAAAATTAGTAAAGATACAGAAACATTTAACTCAGTGTTAAGCATTGCAACAGCGTTTGACTCTGATTTTCTACCCTGCACTAGCAACTTTTAATACTAACTAGGAAATTCAAATTTCTTGACAATGCCATGTCATTGATAACCAATTATTACTTGTATTACATTGTATTACTTTAAATATTCTCTGACGAATCCATAAAGCCATACCATGCTCAGACAGATGTTCAGTTGGTTTTAGGTTGTATAGGCAGCAGGACACTTTAGGGCGGATATAGGAACCAATGTGTTAAACATGCAGGAACTTCCAAATTTTGCCTCTCTTCACTCAGACATTTTGACGTTTTAACAGCGGGACAGCAGCTCAACAAATCATCTTGTCCCTCTGTTAGTCCCTTAGTTAGTAACAAACGTTGACATAGTCTATTGCTCCTACATATTTTGACAAATTTTAACCAAACGTCAAAGGTATCAGAAGCCCAGCCATAACATGTTACCATACTGGGGTCAAAGGTCATCATGGGGTCACTTTTTGTTACTCAAAAAAGACTACTCCCTTCAGGAATTACATGACACAATCACGGGACTCATGCATGAACACGAATTTGTTGGGCCCGCAGCTTCCAAGATATTTCCGATCGAGCTCGTTTCCCTAGCACAACCTTTGTCGGAGGCGAAATGAACCTAAAATACAATTTATATATTCATACCTCGTCAGACACAGAACCGGTTGCTGCAGTTTCTGCACCGGTGATGGAATGTCAAAGTTGGAGCTGCCAGTCACGAGTCTGGTCAAGCTGTGAGTAGTACCAGCTGATGATAGGATGCTGGAAATCTAAAAATAAAAGCAATTTGGAAAAGATGTGTTAACCTTGCCCCCTGCTAAAATCTGCCAAAATCTGACAACCCGATTTGTGTGATTGTGAAGGATTTAGGCCTGCAGAGATAGTCAGTCCAAAGTCAGTATGGCTCATCGGGCCAGCTTCATAGCCGTGTCCGAATCACTTGGATATGGCCGGAAATAACACGCGTACCTATGGAAGCCACTGGCCAGCGGCTACAGCATCTTCCCATAAACTGTGTGTTATTGCCGATTCGGATATGGCCCATCTCCGGTTTCCATGGCATGAAATGACTGAGAGTAGTTCTATTCCTTCTGGATGGGATGCAAGTCCATCACATGGTACTCCTGGTTAATGCCGGTACCCGTTTATACTCCATGGTGGAGAGAGGCAAGTGTTGTTAAAGTGGCTTGCCTACGGACACAACATATAGCCAGCAGCTGAATTCGAACCCCTGACCCTCTGATCATGGTTCACAAACCTTAAGGCCACACTGCCCCAAGGCCTTGTAGCCCAATACTACAAAGGACATGCCAAGGAGTACTGCGCAGTGTTGAGATATTGCTGGATTTATCCGATTCAAAAAGACACCTTACATGTACAAAAAATATTAACAAAGGTTGTACTCTTTGCGTACAGCAAAATGGCATCCTCACTTCAGACAGGGAATTGATGTACCTGCTTCAATGTCATAAGGCCTTTTCACACTTGAGCCTCTCAACCCAGGTTGAACTCAACCCTGGACAAACCCAGTGCTGCCCGGGTTGACTTTTTAACTACTTAAACCTGCCCTCAACCCCTCATCGTTTCACACTTGTTTCGTGCAAACCAAGATTGTGTCGCTCGGTTACTACTGTATTGAACCCTGGCGAGAGTTTCAATCCTGGTTGAAAATCTCAACCCTGGTATGGAGCAGTTCGACCCGGGGCGAAATCAATCTCAGGGGTGGCGCAGGGTTGAAAATGTTCAAGTGTGAATATCCGCACGTTTTCAACCCTGCGTCACCCCTAGTGTGAAGAGACCTATAGGGTGTTGATTAAACTCAGACTATTGTAATTACATGTAATGTATACGCAAAGATAAAATGCTTTCCAATATGTTTCCAATCAAGGCATAATTGATGTTACAAGGTCCTGGTAGTTAATTTTTTTTTGATTTAGCTCATTCACCTTTTGGCTTGAGATGTTGGTGAGCATTGCATAGTAGAACCGTGCTCTGTCTCTGATGTCTAGATCACCGTAACTAGTCAATAACTCGTAAAGTAACTGACCAAGCTCTGAAACGAAATTAAGCATATTTCAAAATCAACGAATACGACTGTCAATTGCTGAAGTAGATAATCCAGTTCTAGCGGAGTAGGCAATCAGGCAGTGAGCGTCTACCCGCGAAGTGGTCACAAGATGACGCAGCAACCTACTTCTCGGAGCGGGTGAGGCGAAGCCTCATTTCTTATACAACTAAACCTCTGTGGCACCTGCCACAGAACAAAATTCCTCACTTTCTGAATGAAGTGAATTTCTGTTAGCTATGATCCAAGTTCTCACCTTTAAAGATCTCGGTCGTATCATGATGCTGCATGATGCTATGACACACAGACAGGATGCAGTTGCCTAGCAACCAGCTACCATTGGATCCGATGGACGTGGAGGTGAGCAGCTGACGAAGGAACGCCACTATTGGCTGGAGGGGGAAAAAAGAAAACTGAGTTATGCAGCAGAATTAATTGAAAAAAAATCTTCTTCATCTTTTCTGATTCCTGTTTCCAAACTGAAGCTTTCTGATATTTACAGTGAAATATAGACACAGATTTTTCTTCATTTGGTTTTTGTTTAACCTTAATTCCCTAGGCAAATGTTGCTAGGATGTAACCTCAAATCCTGCAAAATCCTCCAACTGCCTCCACAGAAATAAAGTACAGCCTCAATCCTCTAAAATCCTTAGTTTTTTTCTTAAATGTGGTCCTTGGAGGGGTGACCACTGCCTCAATCCTGCAAAATCTTCCGGCAAGCACTGTCAATATGTTGAGGCAGAGCCAGTGACATCCTGGAGCAGTGCGGAGGATTTCAAGTATAATCTAGGCCTAAATTCATGCACAGCTGAGCATAAACAACACAATGTCCGGCCTAAGACCTTGACACAGTGCATCCTCCAAAATCAGCCACACATTTTTGCCATATAACCTCAATCCTGCAAAATCCTCCATTTTGCAAAGAGGATTTTGGAGGATTTGGGAAGGTTAGGGTTAATACAGCCAATATATTCCCAACAAATCATTCAATCAAATACTCGGTCCTTTCAGTTTCACTTAGAAAAATAATGCTGCCTTATACACAAGCACTCAACAGTCAAACACAGTCAATCAAATTCAATTGACCAATTACATTGCTAATCAAATGGTTAAGTTCATTCGATTTTTGTCGAAACGAAAGTATAGAGCTAGAGACGTTTGTCAAGACTTCATTTTCAGCTGGTAAACCATTTTCACGTTTGAATTCGTATTCAATTTTGAATTGAAAATGAAAATAAAAGGGAAAGCACCGATATTGAAAAAGAAACACTGGTGTAAATGGAAATAATAAATTTGCATGAATGTGCAGGCATGTTAATGAAAACGAACGAAATGCTGATGAAATTGACTGGGAAAAATTGTAAATGTATATTAGACCGCCTGCCATTTAAACAGTCACAGATAGACAGTCGAAATTTCCATCCACTTCCCCTGCAATACTTTTAACACAGGCTAGTCACCAGCAGTCAGATCATATGTCAAGCAAGTACTGTGACTAGTCAAAGTCAGTCAACAGACCATAAACAGACAAAGCAGGCAAGTTGTGGTCACAGCTGGCTTATCAATCTCCCACAGTCAAAGCAAAGCTGTATCAAGTTACATAAACACTTGACTACTTGACACAGAATGTATGTTTGCATAGGAGGGTTAATAAATAAAATAACAGGATTATTTCTTGCATTTTACCTCCAAATCCTGAATGGCTTTTAAACTAAGTTCTTCAGTACATTCTCTGCATTTTAAAATCATTGTATACACATGTCAAACATCTTTATTTTTTATTTTTTAACCAACCTTGGGAGAGATACTTTTCTCCTTGCAAACTTTCTCGAGCAGGAGAAGATGAAACTCCAAATCCTCCAAGACATCTGAAGGAGGTGTGGAGACAATGTTCTCCATCGACGACTGCAGCAGCTCCGTAGGAAAAGAACTGACAAAAATGTAAACAATTATATTACCATAGCAACTTCTTTACATGGCAATTAGGAAAAGTTCATCAGCAGAATAAAGAAAATATAGAAAACAAAACGACAAGTTTTTCCTTTTTTTTTTTTTTTTTTACAGTTATAGAGGATGCTGACTGCTGAATGATATGTTTGTGAAACATTTTAGAAGATAGGGTAGATTTATAAGGGAATAAATATGTGTATGGTCGGTTTTAAACAAGTACTTTTAAAACCGGCTAAGGGCCGGAGTTGGATAATGGCCCAAGCCAAAGGTGAGGATCATTATCAACGTCCAGGCCCCACTTCCACTCCAGTTTTAAACGTTGCTGTTTAATACCAGCCAAGCACATATTTATTCTCATTCATAAATACCTTTTCAGTCAAAAAGTCAAAACAAGTCAAAATTCAAAAATTTCCAACGATTTTGTTCAAAATTTTACTTCATGTTTTTTTTTAACACCCCTCTTTCCATGTCTATGGTATGTGCCTCGTGTGCGTAGTGCTAAATATCTCCTTATATGGAGATTGGCGAATGAGCCGCGCATACTGCACGATGTGGCGCAGAATGCAGTGGTACTTTATCAGCGGTTTAAAACCACCCAAGTGACGAGCTCTTGACCAATAGGAATTGGCAAACTGTCTTATGTATTTATGAATATAATACATTAGAGAATGACACATTCCCATTTTGTTGTGTAAAAATGTATAGGGAATTTTGTTGAATCCAGCACCTGCAAAAACGAAAAAAACAGTTGTCACATTCTTTTAATAGCTATTCTTCAGGAATTAAAAAACTTGTTGCGATGTTATAAGAAGTACACAGGTTTCCAAAATTTAACTGCTCAGCGTCATGACATACACGCAGCATTAAAGCCAAATAACTGAATGAAACTCTTTAATACATCATTTGTATACTACTCCATCAATGACTTACAGACAATATGAAACAAGCAGGTCTAGATGGGACTGACAAAAAATCAGCTCTCAAAAGAAACCATTTTATTATTCTATGCCAAAAACAAATTCATTTATTATTTGAATATGCCATTAAGCTGCTTATGACTAAACAATGACGCACATGTCTTCCACCGGTCAATAACCTCTTTCAACACGAGTATAAAAAAAACGAAACGTGTTTTCGGTTAAAAAGAAATATCTATACTTTCTATATTGCCTTCCGCCACTTTGGCCCGGGTTCGATTCCTGCCCTGGTCCAATATGTGGATTGGGTTTTCAGTCCCTACCTGATTCCGTGGGTTTCCCCCAGAATATTCTTCTGTGATTTTCCTCCCACCTCTAAAACTGTAATTTCTTCTCACTGTCCTCTCTCTAAAGGTTTCTTCAGGCTTGCGAGCTACAGTTCGTTGGATGCTTTCAAGGAATCTTTATTTCATTACCAGAAATAAATTAATAACAATAAGAATAATAAACATGAAACTCAATATTTTGTTACTCTTTTGTGTCGATTCTGTTGATGCATTCGATGAAGTTGATAGTGTGAGGCACAAACTTTGGTTGCTCTGTCACTATGGTTACAATCAACCTGGGAAGAAAAAAAAAACAGACAAATTACGCCATTTGTCTGACGACAAGACATATTACGCCATTTGTCTGACGACAAGACATACTATGCCATTTGTCTAATGACCATTAAGATAATGACCATTTAAATAATGGGGAGTGATTGCAAGTAATGCTTCAATACAACTGCACAGTTATACAACAAAAAAATGAACTGGAAATGTACTTCCTCAATCTCTAATGGACGTAACAAAATATTGGAAATAAATCTTACCAAAATTTGAATTACCTGATACGTATCTGTATCATGAACACTTAGTGAAGACAGGAAATGTATGTAGTTAATCAATTCACATTCACTGTATTACTAAGGGAATAAATGTGTGCTTCGGAGGTTTTTATCACTCTGTTTAAGACCACTTAGAGTCTGGGTGCTGATAATTACCCGAGCCGGAGGCGAGGGTAATTATCAGCACCCAGACTCTAAGTGGTCTTAAACAGAGTGATAAATACCGACGGAGCACATATTTATTCCCATTCATAAATACCTTTTCGGTAAGAAAAAATCATATAATTCGTTCAAAACATCCCGATTTTGTTCAACAAATTCACTTTATGCTTTTTGAAACATCCCTCTTGCAAAATAATGGAGTGTTCAGCTAGCGAGTAAGATGTAAACAACCCTTTTATGGAGATTGACGCGCGCGTATCATGTTCTGCGCGATGTCGCGCAGAACGCACCTGGCACGTTGCGTTTTGAATTTAGAACTTTAAAATTCTGACTCCCTGGTAGTGTTGCGCATGCCTACGTGAGGATTGTGAACGTTCAACCAATGAAACGATAATAGGCACTGGATTTTTAGGAGTCCACATTTTATTGTGACACTGGAAAAGTGTTTAAGACCAGCTAGCCATGTCTTTATCATCCGTTTAAGACCGGCCACGTGACGGGCTCTCGACCAATAGGAATGCGTAAACTGTCTTAGGTATTTATGAATGTTCTTTAATATGGTCCATGCTGTTGTTAATAATTTGTGAGAACATTATCACATTAATTTTATATCCAAAATGCTAAAAGAAAAAGAAATACAATGCACGCACCTACTTACCTCATTTTTTGTTAGCTTGGATACAAGAATCTTTTTACATCATTGTTTGGTCAGCAACTTCTGGGGAATTTCTTACTGGTTCTTTTTTATTCATAAACGGGAATTTGTGAGAAGTTCAGGCAAAGTGAGACGGAACTGGGCACTGGCCGAAGTGGAGAGAATGAAAAAAAAACTGAAATGGCTGATTTTGTTTTTGATTTTCAGATTTACTCATATTTGTATAATGTGATATGTCTACTGCACATGTTAAAATTATAGTAAACAATATTTGGAATAAAAGTGTTTTTAAGGATAAAACAATTGGCATCTTTCATTTTCATAAATACAAAATTCAAAACATTAGTGGCCTTTTTCTCAGTATTTTACTTTTATGACATGTCGATAAATGCAAACTTTTAACAGCCATAACTTCAATGTCCAATTGAAATGCTACAAACAGTATTGCAAGGACAATTTTACTCTCTTTCCTAATCCCAAACCCTCATTTCGACCTCTGCCCAGTTCTGTCTCATTTTGCCAAAACGCCTCATATTTGCGTCATTCCTTTTTGTGCTGATGTAAATGGACATCAAGCAAATGTACAATTGTCATTACTTTTTTCTTACGCACAATCGAGTGATTGTTACTTACTTGTAGATATCAGATCTGAGTACAGTCTCATAGTGTCGTCTGTAGTACAAGTAAAGAGCTCGATACAACGTGATTGCTGGGCGTCCCGTGATGCCATAATGAATGGACTTCTGTAGCGACACTAGGCAACCAATTAGAGTGGCCGAAGCAGAATCTGTTGGTATTTTAGATATTTCCTTTTTAGTGATATCTTTTGTTTTGTGTAACTGTTGTTTTCTTAATAGCATAATAATCTTTATATGTAAAGCATAAATGGAGTATAAATGGGAACCTGTGAAGACCAGAATGCGCTGATCTATAGCTGCTGCTATCATGGCCTGATGCACAGGGGTAATAATTTTGCAACGATTTCAGACCTTTGGTATAATGCGCTATATAAGCATCACACTTAGTATTATTATATTCCCAAGACAACCTTCTATTTTTAACAATTAACCCTAACCCCTGGGCCCTCTGGCTAGGATGCAACCTCAATCCTGCAAAATACTCCAACTGCCACCACGAAAAAGTTGGATTCAGCCTCAATCCTCTAAAATCATCCGTTATTTCTTAAATTTAGTCTGTGGAGGGTGACGACTGCCTCAATCCTCCAAAATCCTCTGCCAATTACTGCTACGGTTTAAGGCCGTGCGAATGGCATTTAGAAGCAGTGCGGATTAAATACGAGAAAAACTGCACGGCTGAACATAACCAATGCAGGATACCGGCCTACTGGCTTGACATAATGCATCCTCCACAAAAAAGCGATACATCTTTGCCATTCATCCTCAATCCTCTAAAATCACCCAAAACTGGCAGGAGGATTTTGGAGGATTGAGGAAGGGTAGGGTTGAACCAATTCAATTCAATTTTGTTTTACAACTTTAAACCTGTGTACGTCACACGACATCCTTACGAACGAGTAAGCATAATAGTGATAATCACCAACCTTGTACATGGCTGGGCGTAAAACACAGACTCAGTAGATTGAGCTTAATGAGAGTGGTGTCCAGTCCATCAAACACCCCTGGGTACAAGGATGCAGTCTTGGTATAGTCCAACCCAGTTGGTAAATGACTCTTGGTATCTTCCAAATCGGATGCCTAAAAGAGACATCACCGTCAATCAACCCAGAGAAAGAACAAAAGCAAGGCAAGTCTAGTAAAAGTCGTCCCAGACCACACAACATTCTATGCAATTGATTCAGACTGGAAGTTTTTTCATGCATCTGGTCTACACAATGGGCCGGATTTAGCCCATTCATTGGCATTAGGGTTAATCCTATACGATAGCACTGCCCGGCTCTCGTCACAAGTTGAAGTCAGGCAGTGAAATAAGCAGCCAGTCTAACTCACAAGTTACGGGGAGTCGGGGGGGGGGGGGGGGGGGAGTCAGTCAGTGACTCACTCAGTCAGTTACTCACTCAGTATCAGTCAGTAACTCACTCTGTCGGGGGGGGGGGGGAGTCAGTCAGTCAGTAACTCACTCTGTCAGCCTGTCAGTCAGTCAGTCAGTGACTCACTCAGTCAGTAACTCACTCAGCATCAGTCAGTAACTCACTCTGTCAGCCTGTGAGTCAGTCAGTCAGTGACTCACTCAGTCAGTAACTCACTCAGTGATCAGTCAGTAACTCACTCTGTCAGCCTGTCAGTCAGTCAGTCAGTGACTCACTCTGTCAGCCTGTCGGGGAGTCAGTCAGTGGCTCACTCAGTCAGTAACTCACTCAGTATCAGTCAGTAACTCACTCTGTCAGTCTGTCAGTCAGTAACTCACTCGGGGAGTCAGTCAGTCAGTGACTTACTCAGTCAGTAACTCACTCAGTATCAGTCAGTAACTCACTCTGTCGGGGGGGGGGGGGGAGTCAGTCAGTCAGTGACTCACTCAGTCAGTAACTCACTCAGTATCAGTCAGTAACTCACTCTGTCAGTCAATCAGTCAGTCATCAGTGACTCACTCAGTCAGTAACTCACTCAGCATCAGTCAGTAACTCACTCTGTCAGCCAGGGAGTCAGTCAGTCAGTGACTCACTCAGTCAGTAACTCACTCGGCATCAGTCAGTAACTCACTCAGTCACTCAATCAGTCATTGATTAAGTCAATTAGACCCTTCAGTACAAAGTCATCTTAGTTACTTGAGTTCAATTTTCTCCTGAATATTATTACCTTGTTTTCAGGGAAGTTGAGCAGCCACTGATAGCAGAGTAGTCTATGTCCTGGTGTCAGGCAAGGGTGACTGGAGCAGGAGACTAGTCTGTCTAAGAGTAATTCCTCTTCGGCGTCAGTCATGAGCTGTCTGCCAAACTTATGCTGATATAATACAAAGAAAGACAACTCTGGGGTAATTACATACTATTTCTTCCAGTTGGGCCCCCCCTCCCCAATTTACAAAGTGTTGACACACAGCCTGTTTGTGATTTTTCCGTTTATATACCTTGAGTATCAGCAATGCATGGAATAACGTCACATCATGTGTAGCTTCAACACGTGTCACAAACGGCCTCAGAATCTGTAAATAAAAATAACAAATCGGTAAACAAAATGATTATTACATTATCTCAATTCTTAAATAAACAAGAACCTTTCCAAGATTATTTTTTGACTTGTTTTATATTTTTCTTTCTTCTGTTTTTTTCTGTTCTAAATTGGACTGGCCTGTGATCAAATGTGCCATCCGCTAAAAATCCAGCGCGGCAATTCCAACTCAGCTCAAACACATCCAGATCTGACCTTTTTCAGTACGACATAAACAATCCATTGTTCTATCCAAAATCAAAGAGTGTACTAGGGGTGTGCATTTACGGGTAGTATGGGAACCGGATACTCGATTAAAAATAACACGGGTACCTGGGTACCCGTTAAAGAACCAAACCCAAAAATTCAAATCGCAGAAGTTGCTGTTCAGATTGTGCGTAAAGGTCTGCATGATAATACTACCACATCGGTGCGTCAATGCAGTAAGGCCCCTTTACACAGGGCTGCGACCTTTGTACCACCTATGAGCGACCAAAAAATGGCCAGGATGCTCAATGGTCGCCTAAACCCAGAAAATGCTGTTTCTATGTAACTGCTCCAGCGATCTTTGTGTGCCTCCCTTGAACCACCAAAACTGCAATTTTCGGGCATTTCCATGTTGAGCTACGAGCGACCTGTGCGTCCACTGAGCCACTTGCCTGCCTCCCCTGTGCTTCCCCTGTGCAACCTACAGCAACCAACGCGATTATAGGCAACATAGGCGACCCCCCGAGCAATGATTGGGCAACCATTGAGCCTCCTGTGCCATCATCGGCGACCAACGGCAATTAACGGCAATCACTGGTCGACCATTCGGCCATGCTTCTGCCTCCTAGGCGACCCTAGAGGCACAAGGGAGGCAGAAGCATCGCCCAGATTGATGGTAAAATTTGCAACAGAACGGATCTATTACGTGGCGACCATTGGCAGACCATTGTGCATCCATTCTGCATCCATGGCAATGCCTGTGCCTCCCTTCTGCCTTATTTGAGCCACCTTTGAGCAACCAACCTCCTCGGCAACCTTTGTGCGACTGTTTTGAACATGTTCAAAAATTTACGGCGACCATGGCGTCCATGGCGATGTCTGAACATCCTGTGTACCACCTTTGAACGACCTAGGCAACCATTCGGCCTCCTTTGAGCCTCCAACGGTGACCTGGCCAGTTTTTATAGTCGCACAAGGGAAGCCCAAAGGTCGCACCCCTGTGTATAGGGGGTCTAAGGGTTTGGAGGGCGCTGTTCAGAATAACAATAGCCAGACAGAATAATTTCAAAGGGTCTTTAGTACCATACAATCTTTAATAATCCAAGTAAGCTTTTTGTTAATGATTCAGTAGGTTACTTTTTCGGATAAATGCAAATGACCCTATGGGCCTTTAAATACAACTTCGAAATTATGCTGACTTACATGAGGCGCAATGTGGGGGGCTGTTACCATGCAGTCAATGAGTTTGAGGAGCGTCGTCACTGCACAGGGCATCGTCATGAGATAAAGATGATCCAGCAGGAAGGACAGACATCTCAGCAGTTCTTTACTATCGACATCCTCTGAGAAACATCTTACGGATGAATCCTGTATGATAAAAACATGTTTTCATATGTAACAATATGTTAAAATACCACTCATCTGCTGGTTTCTTTTTAGTCAGAAACTAATGGAAGTCAGACATACCTTTGGTGATCCGAGTTGAAACATTTTGTTGCTGAAATCTTCCGGGAGCGTAAGAGGCTGGGACACGTGAAAAAAAAATCAAGAGTTTTAATTTAAGCTTTAACAAATATTAAGGTTTACAAATTCCTCTGTTCAAAATTAACTGATCAGCTAATATACAAATCTGGCCAACAATTCCAAGTAGTTATAAATGGAAATCTGATGCAAACACATTCACTGTGTTCAAGTTTAAAGTTTCCACTTTCTATTTTGTTATTTTTGGGTTATCCTTTTTTTATTTATCCTGTATTAAAAATAATAATTCTATGGTCCGTATATATAGCGCTTTATACCAAAGGTCTCAAAGCACCAGAGTTGTAATGAGTCACTATTTTTTGTGACTCGAGTCGAGTCGAGTCATTTTAAAGAAGTGACTCGAGTCAAGTCGAGTCATTTTAAAGAAGTGACTCGAGTCATTTTAAAGAAGTGACTCGAGTCGAGTCGAGTCATTAGGTCAAAAGGTCGAGTCGAGTCGAGTCAAATATTTAGCTCGAGTCAATTCGAGTCACGAATATTTGAACACTGTAAACCAACATTTATAAAAGGAGGCCATAAGTTTAACCAGCGTTCGAATCCAAGAGCTTTATAAGAAATCGCCCAAAGCCAATGATGAAACAGCGAATTAGAAAATGTGTTTAAAAATCTGGTTCCTGGATAGTATTTTGTGCGTTCTAGAACCATGAGGTGGGAGTCTGTGACACGTTGTATATTTACACATGACTGCTATTCGCAAAGTGAAGTGAGCATAAATTTTGCACTGTAAGTCATTGCAAATACTTTTCGCGAAGTTGTGCTTTTATTTTTGGGACTCGAGTCTTATTAGCCTTTGCTCATGTCGAGTCGAGTCTTCTGATGAGGGACTCGAGTCGAGTCGAGTCAATTGCTCGCAGTGACTCGAGTCGAGTCGAGTCATTTACCCTTAGGGACTCGAGTCGAGTCAAGTCACCAAAAAATGTGACTCAAGTCGGACTTGAGTCGAGTCATTGACTCGAGTCATTACAACTCTGCAAAGCACCTCAAAATTATTACCCATGTTCATCAGGCCATGCGACAATTTTTCTGCAGAAGCACAAGATCAGCGCAATACGGTCTCTACCTTTACAGGTATCCAGTTAAACTTCTGGGCTGGGTGTAGTGACGCAATTGTAGTAAAATGTCTTGCCAAAGAACACAACCACCATGTTTGAAACGTTCCCCGTCATGGTTTGAACCTACGTAACCATTGGACCAGGGTGCTCCACACAAGATAAGATGTAAATGATCCTATGGTGTTAATCATAAGTGTGCTTAAAGCTACAGTCCATCATTTGTAATTTGTGCATTTTGTTCGTTTGAAGCAACAAAAGAGTTCAAAATCTAATGAAGGATACTGAACAACTTACTTGATGAAGTTTCAGCTCAGCTTCAGCTTCATATTCCGAGAAAAACAGCATTCTAGGATCTCAATTTCAAATCCAAAGTTACTGAATCATGTTTTGAATTGTTTTGAATTGCAGCTATACGCGACGTAGCGCACTGATCCGACGAATTATAACAACCGCGCGCGCGTGTGCGTCGTTCCAATACTTGTGCGCGCTGCGCTGAATAACAAAACGAACTACTTATTTAAATTTTCCTACGGTGCTTCTTAAGAATCACCGTTGGAAATGCCTTCTTTCGTTGATTACTTCAAAATGACAGCTTCCCAGAAAGAATAATTTCACAGGGATTTTAGTTCCCTTACTATCTTTCAACCAAGTTTGTTTTTAAACAATAATTACGCCAGTTACTTTTCGGATGGCTGCAAATGATGGACTATAGCTTTAAGTAGAATCCGACGTAAAGTTTCGATACCTTAAGCGGTTCTGTCCTACTGCACAGCAGATCGGTCACTTCACTGCTATCAATACTGTAGTGAAACAACATATGAGGCAAAATTACAATTTGACTACAACTTGGGAGATGTTTCCAGATACAACACAAGAAGTGATTACAGTGGAACGTCGCTATAACGAACATCGTGGGATCCACAGAAATTGTTCGGTATAGCTATTTTCACAAATTAGTGGCGCCCTCTTGTGATCATTGTAATTGTGAAGTTGCATTTACAAACCACGCGTGGAGTCGCCAAACTTTTCCATTAATATTTTCAATTCCATAGCAGAACTTCACCAAGCACGCCCTGGTAGTTACCGACAGACGACTTCGAACACGTGCTACTACTGAATCATGTTATCACACAGTTTTTATTAATAGTCATTTGTCGCTCTTCTGTTGACATTTCCAACAACAATGTTCGGTACGTTTTGTTCACAAAAATTGGGAGCCAAGGCTGAAGTTTGGTATAGCCGAATGTTCGGTATAGTGGTGTTCCGTATAGAGATGTTCCACTGCACCTCCAAAAGAAAAAGGTGATTCTAAGATGAACCAAAGATCACTATAAAGGTTTACAATGACATTTTGCGTTAAGAAGATGTTATTTCATTATTAGGTTTTGCCCTTTGCCAACGTACTTTCTTGAGATACTGTTTACTCAGTACTCTCCGAGAGCATGCAAGGAGCAATTCACTTCAAGCTTACTCCGTTGGGACTCGAAATGACCGCAACATCACATTCATAAATACCTTAGACAGTTTACCCATTCCCATTGGTCAAGAGCCTGTCATGTGGCCAGTCTTAAACGGATAAAGACACGGCTGGCTGGTCTTCAACATGAAATTTGGACTTCTATGAAATCCAGTGCCTTTTACCATTCTTTTGGTTGAACGTTCACAATCCTCACGTATGCATGCGCACTACTACCAGAATGTCTGATGAGAGTGAGAATATTATTTTTCAAATCTTTTTGGAATATCTAACCAAACCCACCTTTCACCACTTCTCAGTAATACGTAAATGGAATTCTTCAGAACCTGCACAAACAACGCCTGAAAAAAAAAAATCACTGATTTTTTTTTTAATGAACCAAAATGACATCTGAAAGAATTTGTTAGCTTTTGACAGAATGTTACAAAACTTTAAGACCTTAAAGTTGACAAAAACAAAATGGTTTAACCAGTTCGCCCCAGATGACGTGTGTACCCGCAAAGGTTTTGCAGTATTTGGAATGGATGACGGATAAACACGCAGGGAGCGAGGCTTGAAGTATCCGTCAGTGACCCGCTCGCAGAGACCGAGACCAGAAATGTGAGTTTGCTGCCCGAGGGTGATGGCTTCAACCCGCCTGGCTTGAGGTGTAGAGAAAAGTAATCCAGCGCCTCGTTTCATTCTTGTCAAAATAATCCCGGCGTGAACTGGTTAAAACCTTTTTTCAAATACGTATCATTGTGTGGTTGAAACCAATCTGACACGTGGATGGTCCTTACCATATAATTCTGACAGACATGGGTGCATTCTAGCTGACTCATGGCGTAAAAATGCTCCAATTTCCTCATCAAAATACCCTGAAAATGGACACAAATTACTGAGAGTTCAAGCATTCAAATGGATTAATCACGTCAGTATAACAGCACGCATCCCATTGGAATTTCTTTGGAATTTTAGGAATTTCTTGAAAGTTTCCTTTCTAGTTCTGTAAAGGTTGGGGGTGGTGGTGAGGTTTGTGCCGCATGATCAGAAGGTCAGGGGTCCAATCTTGTTGTAAGTTGTGGCCTCGGGGAAAGCCAATTCACCTGAACTTGCCTCTCTCCACCCAGGAGTATAAAAAAAATTATAAATGGGTACCAGCATTAGCTGAGGAAAAACCTCCAATGCACTAGTCTTGATCCACGACTGGATTTGAGTACTTGTTCCCCTAATGCAGTTGGTCCCTCCCTGTTGTACGTTGTGTCCTTGGGCAAGCCACTTCACCTGAACTTGCCTCTCTCCACCCAGGAGTATCAATGGCTACCAGAATTAGCTGAGGAATAACCTCCAATGGACTAGTCTTGATCCAAGACTGGATTTGTCTTTTTGTTCCCCTAATGCAGCCGGTCCCTTCCTGTTGTATGTTGTGTCCTTGGGCAAGCCACTTCACCTGAACTTGCCTCTCTCCACCCAGGAGTATCGATGGCTACCAGAATTAGCTGAGGAATAACCTTAAATGGACTAGTCTTGATCCAAGAATGGATTTGAATTTTTGTTCCCCTAATGCAGCCGGACCCTTCCTGTTGTATGTTGTGTCCTTGGGCAAGCTACTTCACCTGAACTTTCCTCTCTCCACCCAGGAGTATTTATAAATAAGTACTAGCATTAGCTGAGGAATAATCTCCAATAAACTAGTCTTGATCCAAGACTGGATTTATTTTTGTTCCCCTAACGCAGTTGGTCTCTAACGAGTGCGGTCAAGCCACCATGGCAGTAGAGGGTGCCATCAAAAACATGAACAGAAACCAGTCTTGGGAATTTTGGAACCCGGACTCAAGAAATCAAATCATACCTCACGCCTGCACAGGGGATGGGTGGTATTATTATGGGAACAAAAGAGAAAATTCAGTCTCGTATGGAGACTACCAATGGACCAGCATCCCATCACGATGGAATAGAAATATTCCGAGTTGTTTCTTGACCCGGTAATCTTTGATACTGGCTACTTCTTACTCACTGGATGCATCGTTTCTATTTCATTCAGACACTGGCAGGCCGTCCCACGAACGGTCCGATCCACTGCGCTGTTGACCTTTGACACTGTGTCCAGAAGAAGTTCCACAAAGTCTGTAAAGAGCTTCGGCTGGGCTTCCTACGGTAAGAATGCGGACAAGTACACACTAATAAATATAACCAACTAACAGAGTTGTAATCATGTTATCACAAGTCATCATAAGTTATCATAAGACATAATAAGTCATCACAAGTCATTGTAAGTCATCACAAGTCATCGTAAGTCATATTAAGTTGTCATCGTAAGTCATATTAAGTTATCATAAGTCATCATAAGTCATCGTAAGTCATCAAAAGTCATCATGAGTCATCAGAAGTCGTCACAAGTCATCATAAGTCACCATAAGTCATCATAAGTAATCATAGTCATCATAATAATTTTTGAGTAAAACTGTAAGCAGCAAGTAGTTTTGAGCTACCGCCATGAGCGCAGTCAAGCGGATACCGGCGCTCTATAAGACTCTGCTATTGTAAGTCACCGGAAGTAATCACAAGTCATCGTAAGTTATCATAAGTCATCGAGAGTCATCACAAGTCATCGCAAGTCATCACGAGTCATCACAAGTCATTGCAAGTCATCACTAGTCATCATAAAGTCATCATAAATCATCACAAGTCATTGCAAGACATCAGAAGTCAATCACCGCGAGTCAATGCACAAGTCATCCAGTCTCAAGTCAGGTCACAAGCTATTCAAATGAAATGCAACTCTAACGGAGGTATCATGTTCTTTGGTTCTTTCCCAGTAACCTATGACCTGACCTGTGAACAACTTCCAATCGACTTGCATTAGTCCACATCGCGAGTGTGATTAATACCTTTGAACATTTAAGTAAAAGAACAAAAGCAATTTTGTAAATTCAAACCCACCAGCTGCCCTGATTCCAAAAGTATCGTCGTCATGGTGACAAGTAACTGGCTCTTGTAGAACGCGGCCGTTTCACTGGTTGTCTGGTCGTACATACTCATCAAGGAGCCGACCGTCTGCTCGATACTAAACACAAAACTCGTCGGCTCAGTGCTATTAGGTCATTAATGGCTATTTTTGTTGCATGTTATTAAGCTATCAAAATACTTGCTTCTCACAAAAAATCGTTCATTTTATCTTTTTAATTATACTAGAAATTAACTAATGAAGAAAGGGCCTTATTTTCATTTCACATTTGTATTCTTTTTATAAGGTCGCTAACTGGCAACATTATGGTAAACAGCATATATGACTAACGAGTTATCAACAAAAGGCCACTAACGGATAACAACCTTTTGTTGCACACAACACCTTAGACCCTTAGACCCCGTTCCCACTTGATCCACCAATTGGGGGATCTGATCCACCTTTTGCCAAATTGCCGGATCAGATCCCCCAATTGGTGGATCAGATCCGGCAATTGTGTGTAGTGGGAACGCTAACCGTTATAAGGTGGATCAGGATCAGATCCACCTTTTCTGATCCACCTCTGGACCAGGATACAGATCCCCCAATTGGTGGATCAGATCCGGCAATTGCCGGATCACGATCAGATGGGAACGCAAAAGGTGGATCTGATCCGGCAATTTGACCTGTTAACATCCGCCCGGTGCACGAGTGGCGCGAAAATGTTGCGGTCTCATGAACGAAGAAACACGTTTTCAGGCGTGTAGCTCATGTGAACATTTCCAGCGTATACAACATGCACAATAAACAACCGCTGAACTACGGGCTAGCACCGCGCATGCAAAAGCGCACGTGGTATCCTAAAACTACACTATAGGCCTTATTTTTGTTGCGTGTTCGTCCATTACTAAACCTTTTTCATTCCTGAAATTTTACTTATTTTTCCATCCATAAATGACTCAGTCCGCACTCATCAAAAGACTTCACTTTGGCACAGAATCATGGAAAAGCTTACGAGTTTGCGATGAGAATAGTGCCGATAACGCGGTACGTACGGAGGTGACAAATCTGAAGTATTGATTATAGAAAATTGGAAAATGATGTCGTAGTACATCATGTGACCGTTTCTAACCAATGAGAAGCTTCAGAACCAGGGAATCCCTTATCGATGCATTGGTTTCTGCCGTGATGTCATACAATGAGCGGCTCTGTTGGATTTCACCTGTTAATTTATGCACGCACGGATCCTCTACGGATCCGTGATTTATGTTGGTGAATTCGCGTAATTTTTTTGTCTGTGAATTCTGATAGTGCTGTTTGAAAACTGACCCATCCTGGCCTAGCATGCAACCATGCAACAATGGCACTCCCACAGAGCGCGCGTAATTCCGAACTCAGTGACCTTTCGGACCCAACATTTCCGTACGAAAAGGTGGATCAAGCATAAGTGGGAACGCGACTTGCGGTTTCGTTGCGGTAAGATAACGATCACACCAAAATGCCGGATCTTGATCCACCTTTTTCCAATTCAAGTGGGAACGCGGTGTTACTCTCTGAGGGTAGTTTACTGCAAGTCAGTTGGTTATGCCAATGCCCTCCAGCTGAAGTTTATTGGCAGATAAACTATCTTGACAGTGAAGGCTCCAATTGGCAGGAGTTGGAGGCCCTGGAGGGTGCCTGATACTGACCAGCTGGGGGCACTCACTTTGTTATCAGAGGACTCTCATTGTTCTCTGTGGCATGTATTGGAGTGCCTGTCCAGTTACCCTTGAAATGACATGGCAGATATTGGAGGGCCATGCAAAAAACATAGGAGATTTTCTTGAGGCACATATTGGCATGCGTTGGAGGGTCTAGTAGGGTAAGGGTTAAGGTTTGGACTACAATAACCACATTTGTTGCTTGTAGTTCTGAAGATAAAATAAATTTCCATTTTTCAGCTGTGTCCACTTTTCCACGGAATTGCCCAAGTGCAAATAAAATTGGGGTTAAATCCCTCATTAGATAAGTTACTGACCTATCCGGTGTGGACATTAAGCACGATGACTTTTCTTGTAAGGTGGAGAGTAGAACAATCCTGATAGAGTCACCAAGTTTATCGGAGTACATTGCCTGTATGTTGCAAAAAGATACACGAAGTCGATTATAACATATATTCAATTTAACATATTAACCTTTCATTATAACATACTAAATGAAAGGTCTGCTGAAACACCATGTGCGAATAATTTCTCCACTAAGAGAATGGTTCTGAAAAGAACCAGAGGTATAAACTCAATGTTCTGGTCAATATGCTCTGACCGTCTTCAGGAGAGTGAAGACGGTCTGTATTTCGTGAAATTTCCAGATTCGTTTGCACACGTTTGCATATCAAAATTTCAACATGAAATTTCACGAAAATTAGACATCTGAAAAAGGCAGCACTCTCTGATTAGCTATAAAGAGGGCGAGTACGCTTCTAAAGCAAAAATAAACTACAAACTAAGCCTAAATGTGAAAATCAAAATTTGGCAAAGTTCGGCACGGTTTTGTACATGGTGGAAGTGTGGCCTTTATTTACGGAGGTAGTCCAGTAAATTGGCCACATTTATGGGGCTACTGACATCCCTACTAATACTGTACTGTTGTATAGTAGTACTATACAACAGTACAGGAGTACTACACTACACGATCGCTTACCGTACCCCTAGAAAAATGGGTCTTGATGAGACCCATTGACTACGGGCATGGAGCTATAAACACACTACGGGTAACGATCGCCGAGGCAGTATATGGTTGTGTTCCCTGACGTGGCGCACTTGAACGTTTACGCAACTTTCCTCGTGTAGTGTTGCCAAACCACAAACCTCAAATTCATCAAACGGTGGCGTCCGGAAATTGGGCACAAATTGGCGGAGTGTTCCCTAACGTGGCGAACTTGAATAAATTTCGGCAAATTCCAAATTGACATTTAAGAATTTCCATTTCCTGTAAGTGTAAAGTAGATTCTGATAATTATTATTATCTCTACTTACATACCCAACCAAAAGTTTGTCATAATTTTTTTTCTCTTAATTTTCGGGGCATTTTCAAGGCAAGGGTTCACTTTGCACTTCAAAATAAAATCGGAAAATCACACCAAAATGAATTTTTCTTCTAACTTTGTAACGGGTAGATAAACTCGCGATTTATGAACGGGAGTGTTAAGAATTTGATGAAATTTCCCTTTCTGTGAAATTTCAGTTAAAACTTTTGCTCTAGCTAGGCGCTACAGGCGAAAAATCAAAGTGTGCCACGTTGGGGGCCGCGCCACGAAGTCTTACTAATACTATTACTATTACTAATACTAGGCTTAGTTAGGCAGGGTACATCATAGTCATCAACAATAATTTTAATTTATAAAGAAATATAATGGAATTTGGGTTGGGACTATAGATCGGCAGATAAGGACCCACTTGCAATATATCCATAACAAACTCGCCATCCTCGATTTGCCTTGTAGTGAAAAACGCCGCGGGATTTTTGCGGAATTCGAAGATTTCGGAAAGCCATCGGTCCGCCGATTGTAAAACACTGGGCGCTGCCATCTTGCGGTAGTGAAAAGTTCATGTCACAAACGCCCTCTATCGATCACGGTAACTTTTTGTACCGTTCGCGCGCTCATGGTAGCAGACCAGTAAATAAACTTCCATAGACCCCAATGGTAAATGCTCCCACTTCAAAAATTCGGGAAAAATACTCACAACTCTCCAAGGTGTTCGAGACGCACATCAAATTAAAGCTTATTTCATCATCTTTCATTTTCTTTTCAATTTTTGGGGGGTCAACTGATGACTTTTAGGGGAAATTTCCATCTGAAGATGATCACCCCTGAAAATAGTCCTGAAGCCCATCGCCATTTTGAAAAACGATGCCTACACTCCATTGCAAAATAGAGCGCTTTTAGGGTCCAAATTACATCAAAATTACACAGAATTGCAAGCTCCCAGTCCTGTGCACGGCTTCCACCCATATTTTTTACAAACCCTCAAGTTCATGGCCCAAAGCATGCCCAAATACCGAAGATTTTGAGGGCATGCAAATCGTGATTTGGCCGGCGCAGGCAATTTCGGACCGATTTACTGGTCTGCACCCTATAGAGAAGCGAGGTTTTGAAAAATTTCCCCAAACCACTTGTACGGCACGAGGAAGGATGGATGACTCATATTTCATCAAAAAAATGCAAGAAAAAAAATCTCTGACTGCGATTTCTGGCCTGAAAACAAGCCCTCTGCTTGCGGCTACCGTACTGTAGGGCGCCCCCAACGGGCTTTAATTGAGTTTTTGCTCTTTCCGACCCCAAATTACCCCCCCCCCCCCTTGTTCGCTCGAAATTGCTGTGATCGGACGACGGTCCATCGGCCCTATTCAGATTTTGGGCGCATTTGTTGCGGAACCGCCATTGGTGACCCCTTTTGAAACGCTGCCCCCCCCCCCCCCCCAGGTTCCGCCCCCCTGAAAAAAAACACCCCGCAAACATTTGACAAACAAACGTGGAAGGCGCCATTTTGAAACTACAGAGAAGCGAGGTTTTGAAAAATTTCCCCAAACCACTTGTACGGCACGAGGAAGGATGGATGACTCATATTTCATCAAAAAAATGCAAGAAAAAAAATCTCTGACTGCGATTTCTGGCCTGAAAACAAGCCCTCTGTTTGCGGCTACCGTACTGTAGGGCGCCCCCAACGGGCTTTAATTGAGTTTTTGCTCTTTCCGACCCCAAATTACCCCCCCCCCCCCCCCTTGTTCGCTCGAAATTGCTGTGATCGGACGACGGTCCATCGGCCCTATTCAGATTTTGGGCGCATTTGTTGCGGAACCGCCATTGGTGACCCCTTTTGAAACGCTGCCCCCCCCCCCCAGGTTCCGCCCCCCTGAAAAAAAACACCCCGCAAACATTTGACAAACAAACGTGGAAGGCGCCATTTTGAAACTACAGGTAGCAGACCAGTAAATAAACTTCCATAGACCCCAATGGTAAATGCTCCCACTTCAAAAATTCGGGAAAAATACTCACAACTCTCCAAGGTGTTCGAGACGCACATCAAATTAAAGCTTATGTCATCATCTTTCATTTTCTTTTCAATTTTCGGGGGGTCAACTGATGACTTTTAGGGGAAATTTCCATCTGAAGATGATCACCCCTGAAAATAGTCCTGAAGCCCATCGCCATTTTGAAAAACGATGCCTACACTCCATTGCAAAATAGAGCGCTTTTAGGGTCCAAATTACATCAAAATTACACAGAATTGCAAGCTCCCAGTCCTGTGCACGGCTTCCACCCATATTGTTTACAAACCCTCAAGTTCATGGCCCAAAGCATGCCCAAATACCGAAGATTTTGAGGGCATGCAAATCGTGATTTGGCCGGCGCAGGCAATTTCGGACCGATTTACTGGTCTGCACCCTCATACAACTTTTTTACAAGGTTAAAAAGCGCAGTTTGTGTTCAAAATACCATAACTGGAAAAGAACATGAGCGATTTGAATAATTCTCTCCCTAGAAGAAAGCTTTTGATTGGGATTTCATATCCTAGATCTGGAAAGCGCTACATGCAGAACTTTTAATTAAAAAATATAGGGGGAACCATTTCGGGTTTTTTAATCGCCATGCATGTATTTAGCTAAAACAACATTGTAAATTTAGGTCGATTGCAGACTAAGACGGAATGGCAGAGTAAATGAGTTGCCCTTTTATGTGGTGCTATCATAGAGCTATTTTTGTATTCTACAAGAGTCAGGGCACTTATAGAAACTGGTTTTACATTTTTCTATATTGATGCGTTGCTTCTCTATCAGCGAAAAGGAATGGGAGGGGGTTATGGCCACGCCCCCTCCTATACAGGTTGTTCATGTCTGGCGGGCACCTTCCACCACTGAAAATGTCTGGCAGTGGCCATTCATGATACCTGGGACTAGGCCCAACATTCCAGTAGGTTTCACTGGGTTAACTCACCAGCTGATCTAGCTCAATTTTGTGGCCCCTTTCTCATGACCCTCCTGACCATACCCACCACAGTGTGCCCGGCAGACGTCCATTTCTTTACATTGGTATGCATGTGGATCATTGCTGCATACATGAAAATTGGTTAACTTTCCAGCTAGGCTGACCCCCCCCCCCCCCCCCGGCTCCCGCTCTACTATACGTCTTGGATGAAAAGTGAGCTCGTACAAAAGCCTCGAGGGCTGATCGTGACTGCTGTTCTATTCTGCTTTGAACAACCTGATTGAACAACTGGTCTTCATAATATAGGTTTTTCCGGCCATTTCGTGAAATGTTCATTCACTTCTGAAAATCGGTCATTCGTTTTCGTGTGAATTTGATGCAGGTGTTGAATCCCATTTCAATAAAATTCAACGAAAGTTCAATCGTTTTCATCGTCCGTGCATTCGGTTTTGAGAAACAGACGGCCAATCACGTTACCTGTGCATTCATTAATTTACGCAAGCATACCTTTTCTAAATTGATTTCAGGTTCAAATTTGATTGACGGTCACGGTGAAAAAGAAACCCCTAATTGTATCTGGTACGGTGCCGATGGCATTAAACTAAAAGTGAAATAGAATGGGGAATGTTTGAAATCGCCCTCTAAAAGCGAAAAAGAAGTCTTGTAAACGAATCTGAATGGACATAAACGAAAGGTGCTGCTCAATCACTAAATGGATTGAACTGAAATGGAATCGAATGCTCTGGTAGCGATAATGAAAAGCATATTCAGAGCGATTCTAGTCTCAAATTCAGACGAAAATGAATGACCGATTTTCAGAAGTGAATGAACATTTTAGGAAATTGGCCGGGAAAACCTATATAGCTTCTTGAAATCAAGTGCAGTTTAAAGGGCCAATGACATGTCTATCCTTAGAAAAGCACCTTTGTGTCCCATTAAACTTATTTTAAATTTTCGTTTTGCCATTTTCAAGGGGTAACTTGGCCCTTTTGGTATTTATGTATTGGTATTAAATATTTTACATCATGGGCCCTTAATTCGAGATTTAAACATACTCCAAAGTGGAGCAAACACATATATCAAAATATTCTTTGATTGGCCCCGCAACGACACTTGCAACATCCCGGCTGTGGGTATATAAGCAACCCTCATCATTGAAACGATGAAGCTATAACGAAGGGGGTTTATTTTTATAGCTCCATCATTAAAAAAAAAAGGACAGAAAGTCTTGTATTATTCACAGTGCAGCTTTTTTTTTTCTTTTTTTTTGACACCATGATGACTTTGACCCCAGTTTGGTCATGTGAAATATTGGGGCTGGGTCCGTCACTTTTGACAAAGTTTGGTTGAAACCGGTCAAATATGTAGGAGCAATAGACGATGTGAACTTTTGTTACCAATTAACTAACTAACTGACCTACAGACTAACAGAGAGACATGCGTACTTCTAGAGCTGCTATCCGAAGCTTAAAAAATGACAACCTCTTGTCTTGGGGGATCTCGATCAAGCCCTCCGGCCCCCCCTCCCCCCAAAAAAAACCCTTGTGCGCGCCAATTCTTTAAATGTGCAATGGAAAGACACCAATCTTTTATGTTGGCTTGGAAATTACAATTTGATGCTCCTTATTTTTATATTTTTCATTATTTTTTTAGTGGGAACGGTGGCTCATTCTTTGCCCCCAAATAAAACATCCAACTTATCATGACGGCAGTGCCTGTAGCCGAAGCGTGAACGAAACCGAGGTTACATAAATGTCCCTGGACGCAGAAAGTCAAGGGATGTCTCCTAGTCTGGTACCTCAAAATGTCAAAAATAAACCATCAACTTCAGTACACAGGTTTCTGGGAACCGCGTAGTGTAAAGCATGTGACGTTTATATGAAAACTCCCCATCTGGTTCTCGTAGTTCTGAGTTAAATTTAGCTTCTGCGATATTATTGTCCCGACTGTCATGAGGTAAGGAATTTCCATACATTTATGGTGACATTTTTCCAAGAAAATTAGTCAACTGTTAGCGTTAGGTTCATTATTGTTTATATTGTCGCCAATTTACGAATGGTCCAATTTTCGGACGCTCGATCGACTACGGTACCAAGGCCTCGTCCCCAGTGCTTACATTATTTCCAACGGTTACACCTCTATGTTCCGACACCCCTATGTTCCGACTGCACATATTCCTATTCCTATGCCTAACCCTAACCCTAACCCTAACCCTAACCCTGACCCTAACCGGGAGTACACAGTCTTATGTGAGTGTTGTCGGAACATAGGGGTGTCTAGCCCGACTGCGTCTGGCCGTACAGTACTATCGCAAGCTCTGTAGTACGGCCAGACGCTGAATGCTTCCAAAAAGACTGAATTTTTTTGGCCGCTGATGTAGCGATTTTGCTACATCTTTTGATCGAGATTATCTTTTCATCCAGGACAAACATTTCCACAGTTAAGGTTCTTAGTCGTAGAGCAACTCATACCTTTTCGAAAAAACGTTCTTTGGTCTCAATATTTTCATCCATCTGGCCAAAAGACGACTTTCAGTCATCATCTTCCACAAATATCGTCCCGAAAATGCTCCCCCATGCGATTTCAAAATGGCGGCCGCGCTGTAACTCATGAATATGCATGAAAAGTCTGTGACGTATGATCTCGTGTTTTTGGACGTGAGTGCGGCGGCGCCGTACGTACATGTACGTACATGTACATTACTTGTAGACAACAGCCCAGTACAACAGCCCAGTACGTGCATGCACCACAATGTACGTCCGCGCGGCGGTGTGCATGCACGTACTGGGCTGTTGTCTACAAGTAATGTACATGTACATATATGTACGTACGGCGCCGCCGCACGCACGTCCAAAAACACGAGGTCATACGTCACAGATTTTTCATGCATAATCATTAGTTACAGCGCGGCCGCCATTTTGAAATCGCATGGGGGAGCATTTTCGGGACGATATTTGTGGAAGATGATGACTGAAAGTCGTCTTTTGGCCAGATGGATGAAAATATTGAGACCAAAGAACGTTTTTTCGAAAAGGTATGAGTTGCTCTACGACTAAGAACCTTAACTGTGGAAATGTTTGTCCTGGATGAAAAGATAATCTCGATCAAAAGATGTAGCAAAATCGCTACTTCAGCGGCCAAAAAAATTCAGTCTTTTTGGAAGCATTCAGCGTCTGGCCGTACTACAGAGCTTGCGATAGTACTGTACGGCCAGACGCAGTCGGGCTAAGGGGTGTCGGAACATAGAGCAGTCACCTTTCCAACCGTGTTTCCAATAGTAAACCCTGGATAGTAAACTTTCTTCCTGTATCCTGATTTGATATCGCAATTGGCTAGTAATGGATTTTTATCATGTACTTGGTGTTGTTATTCACAACGTGCAGTACGTGTTTTCACGATCATTCGTCCATGCCTTCTCAAAAACATTCCTTTCCTTTTCCAATTTGTTCATATTAATATGAAATGTGATACTGCATGTTGTCTCGATAAGATCGTAACAGTTTAATTAAATAAATCGCGTTTTCGTAACTCACGCTGTGCTCGCGCTGCGACGAATTGACTCTGTTTTTACCCCAGACACCGCATACAAAAACGAACGATAATGTAACGCACATGCAGGCACCAGACTATTCCTCATTTGCATACGTGTTCAAAAATCTTGCACATGCAAATGATCCAATACCAGGGTGAGAGAGCAGGTAGTGATGGGCGCGTACTGCTCGACACCCTGGGGTCGAGGTTGCTATGGTACTGCTGGGCCTAGCCCCAATAAATGGCCAATTTACTGGACTACCTCCGTAAATAAAGGCCACACTTCCACCATGTACAAAAACATGACGAACTTTGTCAAATTTTGATTTTCACATTTAGGCTTAGTTTGTAGTTTATTTTTGATTGTGTACTAAAATAAAGCCTATTGGGCTTTTATAGTTTCATATCCTAGATTTTGAAAGTGCTACATGCAGAACTTCATTAATTAACAAAATGGTCCTAAAATTTGGGTTTCCTGTTTTTGACTCACCCTGTACATGTACACTACATATTAAGCCTCAACTGTTGTTGACGTCGTTATTGTGAACTGGAAAGAATGAGTGCCAAGCTTCATGAAGGAAAGGACTATTATTAAGAGAGCAGGCATACTGAGTTGAAAAGCCAGGTGGTGTTACTACATATGAATGAACCATGAGTTACTACGAGAATGATGCCGTGCAGACTCCTCTATTTGGAGAAAGACAAACCAGGGTAAGACCTTAAATCCAGCTCTTGGTTCCTTATGTGTGAACATTTTAGCAAATTTTGGCAAAGTTGGATTTTTGTGTCAAAAACTTACTCTCTTGAAGATGCCAGATATGGAAAATGGTTTACATTTGGAGGCAATCTTCATTTTGTCAAGTGCTACATTGGAGTGAGCTGAAATCTTCAGGGGATTCCTTCCTGGGCTCTTGAACTTTCGTGTGAACACTTCGGCAAACTTTGCAAGTTGGATTATTGGGTCAAAAGTTGAATTTTTTTATGATGCCTGATATAGAAAACGTTTTCAATTTGTTGGCATTTGGTTAATGACAACTTTTTTCACTGGATTAATTAATTTAACATTGAAACTGATATTGTAGTCAGCTGAACTCTTCAAGGGATTCATTTCTGGACTCTAGGCACATTTCATCAATTTTTGGGCAGATTTTGTGAAGTTGGATTTTGGGGTCAAAAATTGATGACCGCGTATATATGGAAAACTGTTTAAATTCGGGACATTTGGGTAAAAAATTGAAATGTTTGTTTTCTCCCCGGATCCTGACTGTAGTGAGCTGAAATCTCTCAGGAATTCATTTCTGGCCTCTACTCACCTTGTGTGAACATTTGACTGAATTTCGTGAAGTAGGATTTTTGGGCCAAAAATCAGTATTTTTGATGACCGCTGATATGGAAAACTTTTTTCGATTTGGGACATTTGGGTAAAAAACTAAATGGTTTTTTTTCTCCCTGGATCTTGACTGTAGTGAGCTGAAATCTCTCGGGAATTCATTTCTTGCCTCTCCTTACTCTGTGTGAACATTTGACTTAATTTCGTGAAGTTAGATTTTTGGGCCAAAAATCAACTTGTTTTTGATGACAGCGGATATGGAAAACTTTTCAGATTTGGGACATTTGGGTTAAAAACTAAAGTATTTGTTTCTCCCTGGATCCTGACTGTAGTGAGCTGAAATTTCTTGAAACTTCATTTCTGGCCTCCAACCACCTTGTGTGAACATTCGACTTAAACATCATTTTCGAGTTTGGAGTCATTAAATCAGCTATTCTGAGCTATAGAATCGTATACATGTAGGCTGCAATATTGATAAGGAGATGAAAAAGTGGGAGACAGTTCCGGGCACTCTGTGGTGTGATCTAATGCAATTTCTGACCAATTTAACCAATTTCTTTTAGCAAAAGATTACCATTTAAACATCATTTTCAAGTTTGGAGTCATTGAATCAGCTATTTTGAGCTATAGAATCATATATAGGCTACAATTTTTATTCGGAGGTAAGCAAAGGAGCAGGGTACAAACGATACATGACATCTCCCCACTTTAAAAAGTGGGTGAACTTGTATTTTGAATAATCAGCTTCTTTGGGTTGCCTTTGTTTAATAGTTTTTTTTTCTAAATTATAGGTGTCCTGGCTTTAAGTAGTCTCAGGGTAAGCAAGGAATGTACCCTAACCCAGCTCAATCCAACATGACCCATTTCTTTTACATATATGTCCATTTGGTCATGTTGGATGGAGCAGTAAACCTCAAGTATATATTTCTGTTGATCTGTCAACTGAATTAAAAAAAAATTCAGAGTGGGATTCTGTTGGGTCTGTTGGATCCAGCAGCAAACAGAAAGTAAGGCACAGTTGGATTCTGTTGGATTGAGTGTGCCAGTCATTATATTTTCAGGTAACCAACAACTTGGCTAGTTGGGTTGTGTTGGACTGTGTTGGATTGAGCAGGCAGTAACCGTTGGACTGTGTTGGATTGAGCAGGCAGTAACTGTCGGACTGTTGGATTTAGTAGTGTAGTCCTGGGAACTACTTTTGGGTTTATTAAAGACTGTTAAATCAAATTTTTGAATTTCGTGGGTTTTTTTTTCTTTCCTGCAGGACCGAGTCATAAATCTGTCACTAGGAGTCGTTACAGCTATTCTAGTAACAGTGAGTACAATTTAAAAAAAATTTTATTGGGGAATTTTATCGGTACCATCTGTCGATGGGGGTGCTGTATAAAACCGAAGGTAATGCACACCAACAGACAATATGTGGTGCTTTTCAGGGGATACATGCGTGAAATTAAAAAAAGGCACCCAGCACAGCCAATTTCACTAAAAAGGGCACAACTTCTTTTTAAAAAGGGTACTTGTTAAGGAAAAAAAAGGACACTTCTTATAAAAAAGGGCATTCTTTATAAAAAAAAATTGAGGGCGGGGGGTTTAAACGCTGGTGAAGAAGGGGATTTAAATGGAAAAGGGCAGTCTGTACCAAATATTGGGAGGGTAAATACCAAGTCGTCCTGGACAAGTTGTCCAGTCCTAATTAAAGTCACAAGTACTTCAATGAACTGTGTCACACATGTTCAGTCAGTGCAACTGTTCCAAATCATCGACAGTTCCGGATCACTTGATGAAATGAGAATTAATTCAAGGCCGGGTAACCAAACTTTTTTTTTTCGAGACATTGTCTTCACCAATTCGAAGGTCTATCATTTTGCAATTGTCGGGGAAAAGAAGTTTTGGAAATGGCTCAAAGATTACCCACGATCCAGTTCGGCAAATGCTTGTTTTGCTGACCTAAGAAAGGAAGTGCGTAAAGGCAAAAATCTGGGTTCCTCTAGAACGTACATGTATGGCCAGCATGTATCGTTTTTTTCCTAAACTGTATCAGGTTTTCTTGTTTTCTCTCTCAAAATAACCTTAGGTATCACTGAGTAATAATGCTTGTGGCATGTGAATTCAATCAAAAATGTTGCCGTAGTTGCCGAAACATTTGTATCCCTGCGTGCAACAGTTGCCTATCACCCATGCACACGATGAATTTTGTATACAATTTACATGCTACGGCGTGACACACATGTGTGATGAATTTGTACATGTACCACGTAGCACACAGTGTGAGTGATCTAGAAGTGTCGAGGGTTCAGTCCTGTACAAAAGCCGTGATTTCTTTCCCTCTATGTTGAGTCTGTGTGAACATATTTGTTTTAAACATATTTGTTTTAACTTGAAGAAGAGGAATTTTACTATGAAATGATGTCACTGGTACACAGAAACTCCAAACATTGACTGGTGTTCAGTGTTTGTATAAAACGTGATCCAGAACGGTCGCACTGACTGTAGTCAATCAGTGCGACAGTCACAACACTTGAAATCTTGTCCCTTGGTCACATAATACATGTAGACTGAATGACAAGGCATTTACCATTGCTGGCCTACCGGTACATTGTGGAATAATTCCTATTTTTGTTCATATTTCTTTTCTTCAGGTCACGCTTGTCAGTGCTTTCATTTTTCCTGACTGGCCTCCCTCCATTGTCAACATTGCCTTTGCGTTTGTAATCGTCTTAGTTTGTGGAGGAAATCTTCTATTGGTAATTATCTCTTGCTGTTAAGTAAATATGTGTTTTAAACAGTGATTTCAGTAATGGTTGAGTCTTTTGTTCTGGACCATCACTATTTATTTTGACATTGTGCCGCTCGTTCGTGAAGCGATACAGTGGAGAATGTTTCCCTGAAATTTTCAGCCGCCGGTGCACATCGCATGCACGTGGCTTGTTGCCGGCTACACAGAGCAGTCACGCACGCTATACCACATGATATGGACAGAATTGGCCAGTTTCCCGTCAAGACTAACGTTGTACATAGTGGTCAGCACGACTTAAATTCCCCATTATTTTTAAGAACCATTCACCTTAAAATATTTTTTTTACATTAAAGGGAATGTACATCATTGGCTTTTGTTGTAATTTTCAGAAATGAACTATTTGAGGGGTTAGTATAATAGATCAAATATTGTTACACTAACATGTTTGAAGTTTTGTGCTCGAAAATGCCGGAAAAACCAAGAAAAACAAAAATGTTCAAGCAGTCTGGTTCCCTGACTCCACTAAAGATGAAATAGATCAATATTTATAGATGCCGGAAAATTGTAAGGTAAGGGAACCTGTCTAGCCTGCCTGCACCCGTTCATGAACATGTAACCAATAGCAAACTAAATTTGGACTGAAAAAATGGTAAATTTGGATCAGTAGTTGAAAAATAGTTAGGTTTTTCCAACGGTGGTCGGCCGACCATCGTTGGAAATGTATACAAAAATACTATTTTCTAGAAAATGACTTCACACCAGGTGCCATAATTTTACAGGATGCTTCATACTCTCATTCACCAACATCCTAGTAAAGTATTTCGTAAAAACTTGGTAGTTTTATTTTTCGATGTTTACAAATGTTGTATATTCCCTTTAAGTAAGGCAAGTTTCTATTATTTTGGGGCCAGTTGTGAGAGCTTTCATGGCGCAAATGAAAACAATTCTGGCTGAAAATGGTTTGAACACTCTAGTCAATCAGCACTAAACAAATGTGCAAAATACACAAATCTTGTGACCTACAGACCCTATTTTTGAAAGGCTTGTAATCAGAAGCAGAGCTTTTTTTTTGGGGGGGGGGGGGCCTAATGTAATACTATTAGCAGATTGGCTGCCTTTGGAGAGAGACATGCATCAGTACATTTTGTATACATTTCTGGACATCATCATCAGAGCCAGAAAAACAATGCTTTACTCTTCGAATGATTGTCATTGCTTCAAGTTATGATTTTTTGTGTGTGTTCGGGGCTTAATCAATTTTCTATCTTAAATAAATTAATTACTAAAACGTAAAAAAAAAATAGAAAATATTTCTTATACACTTTATCAGTGTTACGGAACCATTTGCCCGACGGATCTTCCTGTTTTAATTTCTGTGAAGATTTCAAGGGCATTTTGCACCGCAGTTCTATAGAAGGGCAACAAAATTAACCTTTTAATGATCCAAAATGCCACAAAATGCCAAAATCATTTTGAAGCTTTATTCTGTATTTTATTGCAATTTAGTTTATTTCTGTTCAACAGTTCAGCTGACTTTTTTAAATTAAGGCCAAAAAAAAAAATAAGTCGGTCTCTGGTCAGCGCGCGCGTCGATTTTAAGCATGCGCGTCGATCTTTTTTTTTCCCAAAATGGTCCGCGGTAGCTCCAACAGTGCCCTCTATTTCCGCACCTCCTCAATTATTTTTACCAAAGAGCACCAAGGAATGGGAAATTGCACCAAGGCAAATGATCAAAGCACCAAGGCAAATTATGAAGGACACCAATGTACATGTGGACACCAAAAAAGCAAAATAGTACCCACCTTGTCTGTACAAGCCAAGCTTGAAGAAAAAAAAAAAAAAGCCGCGTGGCCGCGTCAATTCCGGAACTTTGGTCTGACCAGAGACCGAATATTTATTTTTTTTGGCCTAATAAGGATTAGTTGATAAGTACACCTGTCCGAGTCTGTCTGACAAAATGATGTTTAGAGCCAATTTCCTCTATAGCAGATAAGTAGTATTAATATAGGTTTTCCGGGCCAATTTTCAGTCTGAATTTGAGAATCGCTACCAGAGCATTCGATTCCATTTCAGTTCAATCAATTAAGTGATTGAGAAGCACATTTCGTTTAAGTCCATTCAGATTCGTGTACAAGACTTCTGTTTCGCTTTTAGAGGGCGATTTTTAAACATTCACCAATCAATTTCCCTTTTAGTTTAATGCCATCGGCACCAGATGCAATTAGGGGTTTCTGTTTCATTAACCGTCAATCAAATTAGCTGTACATGAAATCAATTTAGAAAAGGTATGCTTGCGTAAATAAATGCGCAGGTAACGTAATTGGCCGTCTGTTTCCAAGAACCGAATGCACGGACAATGAAAACGTTTAAACTTTCGTTGAATTGAAATAGGATTCAAGACGTTCAAATTCAGATGAAAATGAATCACCTATTTTCAGAAGTGAATGAACATTTCAGGAAATTGGCCAGGAAAACCTATATCTTTTTTGGAAATCATTGTAGTTACTACATGTAACTGGAATATTTTATAACAATTTAAATCCACTTTATGTTTATAACTTTTATTAGGCCACAAAAAAACAAATAGTTCTACTTCCGATTACACGCCATTTGAAAATAGGGTAAGTAAGTAAGGTATTTTTTTTCTTTTTTGTTATGTTGATCATATGCAGGTGTCTGCATATAGTCAAGGGTCAAATGTAATACTTGATGATTTTTTTTTTAAATTTTTCTCATTCCCCCCCCCCCCAATAAAAATAGGGTAGGGGCTGTCAAAATAGGGTAGGTAGGGTGCCCGGAAGTAGAACTATTAATTTATTTGGCCTGATGTACATGTACATGGTTGAATTGTCCAAACATATGTCTGACGCCATGGAACTGCCCAGATAATTTCGATCCGGTAAGTTCCATATTTTTATCGTCTGTTCTATTTTCCTGCAGATATACTGGTACAGAGAGGGGGACGTAGCACCCAAGTTCCGCGGTCTGATCTACTACAATGCTGCCACTGTCTTATTCCTGTGTGTCTGTGCGAACTTGTATATTCACGAAGTTGAAAAATCGCCAAAAACTCCCTCCACGACTTGCTAACTGACAATATTTGCGGTGAGTGGTATTGCATATTTGCTTGGTGTTTATTGCACTTTGCATTTATGTATTTGGGGAATGTCATATTTAAGTGTCATTGATGTGAGTGTTGTTGGATGAGCTAGTAAGGGCGTGCATGGGAGCCTGGTTCCCCGAATACCCATGCATAGCTGCCAACTAGTACGATTTTTTCGTAATTATTACGAATTGTTTGTTAAATTTCGAAAATACGATTTGCCACTAAAACATTACGAATTTCCCATTTTCTACCTAACAAAAAAAAAATACTTGTAAAGTATCGTTTTTGACCGAAAACTTCTGGCGAAATGTCCCGATAATGGATGGACTGGTGACAAGTCTAATAAGAATGCAGTCAAGCACCTGATAGACATCAATGCAGTGTGCGCAGTGGAGTACTTGAGGACCAGACTGAAAATATTTTTCAATGGTGTGTCATTTGTGTGCATCTCGTGGATGTGTGGTTGTGTGTACTGTATGTGAGTACTTTTCAGTGACGATCGTGAGCACATTTAGTCGCTTATTGCCGGGATGAGACCCATCAGTGCGAGATTTTAATCGTGGAATTTAATAAGAGTATGGTTGGAATAATTGGTAATAGAGTTTGAGTTTGTCACAACGGACAGAAAAGATAAATCAGCATGCGTTTGCAAGGTATGTTGGCGGCAGGGGGGGGCGGAAGGGGTAACGCCCTCAACGTTGAAATTGATCTCATTTCCCCCTCGCAACGTGGGCAGTTCGAAGCTCCGTCGTTAACGCACGTAGCTCCGTGCACATGTATTTACACGGAACCGGGTGCTCGCGAGGGGTCACGTACGTATACATCAACATCTGGTGCGCGTGCCGGTGCAGCGCTGAGTAAATGGCAGAAACCATTTTCTCAAACAAACCCTGGAAAAAACTGTCAAATATCTAGAGGATGTACGGAGCGATTTTTGTGAAACTTCCAGGAACAAAAGATCAATCCTTAAAAATTACGATCAGAGAAAAAAATCAGAGGATGAACGATACAATTTTTCAAATTATGTCGATATTTGTAGCCGTTTCAGGGGAGACATTTTGTAATGAATTTCCCACCTAGACACATTCAAAGCAGTTAAGCACGTTGATCCTGGCATTAATCAATCACAAATGTTCGCTAATGTTTTTACGCATTTTTATATAAATTAAGCAATCGTATCAATTGGAATTACTCGTTGAACCTATGCTGTCATGTTTTCAATGCTGAAAGAGAGAGCATTTCAACATTAAAAATGGTTTCCTTTTTTTTTAAACAACGCTCACCTGTTTTAAAAATGGAATGTATACAAAGAGAATAGTCCGCGATTTTTTGGTCTGGAACCCAGACCCCTTCCGCCCCCCCCCCCCCCCCCCCCCTGGTTGGCGGGATATTTCTATTGCAGACGTTGGCCCTAAATCATTGTGTGTAAAAACATGATACGAACTCGAAACTCCACATCGATAGCATGCATCTCCAAAAAAATATGCGCACATGTTATTGTTGGTATTATTTATTTGACTTCAACAAACAAATACAGACATTAAAACAAAATTAATTCAATTTTTTATTTTTTTTAATTTTTTTTATTTTTTATTTTTTTTTTAATTATCTTTTGGCCTACAGTACATTATTCAAGAACAAGAAGGGTATTAACATGTATGTGTACATGTAAACCATGTACCTGTACTCGATGTTGGTAAAGCTTTTGATAAAACGAGAAGTTGAAAATGACCGCGCGGGTTGATTACTAATTGGGATTTTGAAAAGTTGGCAGCTATGCCCATGCCCTGATGTCAGGAACCGGTTCCAGATTATGGGATAGGGCACCCGTAACTAACTTTACAAATCACTCAGGAACTTTTTAGAAAGTGACCAAAAAAAATCGTTTTGAATGCCATTCGTCTTTGTGGGGAATTTTCAAAATGAAAACAGGCTACATGGAAAACCAAAACAGATGTGATGGTTATGATGCATTTTAACACGCTCGTGAAAGTTGCACTTTGCACCATATAACATGTAATTAAAGCTGTAAAGCCCTTCAGACAATATCCAGGATTTGGTGTTGGTGTTAATCTCAATAGTGTACCTTGTTTCCGTACTACCTCTTAATGCACACCACTACAGGGCGAGTCCAAAAAAACCGAAACCCAAATGTTGGGACCATTGTTTTAGGGAAGTTCTGCATGTAGCATTTTCAAAATCTAGGATATGAAAGTCCAATTCATAAGCTTTCTTTTAATACAAGAATCATTCAAATCACTTATGTACTTTTCATGTTATGGAATTTTAAACACAACCACCATTTTAAGGTTCTGTCCACGGATCACCAAAAAGGTGTGCGCTCTTCTAGCAAAAAGAAAACAATTCACACACATCACTATGTGATTTGTTTTTCATTTTGCTGAAAGAACCCTGAACTTTTTTGGCGATCAGTGGACAGAACCTTAAAACGGTGCTTGTGATTAAAATTCCGTAACTTAAAAAGTACATGAGTGATTTGAATGATTCTTGTACTAAAAGAAAGCTTTGTTAATGTTGCTTGCATCGTGACTTTGGGCTTGATCCCTGGCTGTGGCATACAGGTTTATAGCTTCATAGTAGCGCCCCTTGAACTAAGACATTGACAAAAAGGGGAACCGCCAACACAAGGCTGGATAGCTCAGTTGGTTGAGCACCAGAACGGCAATCCGGAGGTCGCAGGTTCAAACTCAGCTCCAGCCAATTTCTTTGTTCAGTCAATTTAAAATTGGATGACATCATTCCCTAAAATATGTAAATTATGTCAAATTGATGACAAGGAGTTTCCTTCTGTTTTCTTTATCTTCAAACAGAAACTCGACAGAAGATACATGTAGGATCCAATGTGTTACACATATGAGCATTGATTGAGTTGATATCAGAACTCGCTTTGGTTCAAAGTCTATTCTTTTCTGATTTTTAGCAATGCGTGTAGGTACCATCATTGCTTACATCAATAAGATCAGGCAAGCCGAGTGAAGTTAGCCCCACACCAGTCTATGGGCCTCATGCATGAGTCGGCCATATTGAATTGAAAGTGAGGTCATATCTTCATTATTTGGAGCTTATGAAGAGAAGTTAAAGCAAGTAAATTACTAATTAATTCAAGTCTGCTTCAAGGAATCATTTAAAACTTGTAATTAAACATTCCCTAATGTTTTAAGCCAGATTTAACAAAAACAATGTCATTATTGAAACAAGGCTGCATAAATAGTCTGGCGCCATCCAATTCAACAGTTAAAAATTTATGAAGTACATTCAGGGAACTTGACAAAAATGGCCAGCTCGTGCATAAGGCCCATATAGCACGAGTGGCAGTCGGTCAATGAAATACATACAATGAGGACACTAGGCTATGCAGAGTGTACAAATTCTATTCAACTGCTTCAGTGCATCTGTCCATTGGAAGTCTTTCATGCATCTGGTCTACACAATGGGCTGGATGTAGCCCATTCGCTGGCATTATAATGGAGTAATCCTATACAATAACACTGCCCGGTTGCTTCATGTAACAGTCAGTCAGTGAGGAAGGTATGCTTGGGAACACTTGGCTGGACCTCTTCGACAAGCACAAAAACAAATCAATGATTCTAATATGTTTTTCCAAGGTTTTTCTGAGTTACATGTACTCTGCCTTAAAAACAATTGAGTGCTAATGAGAAGTGATAGGTGTGGGGTGAAGATAGGTGTGCTGTCCCCATCAATACTTCCACTGAACAATAGAAAATGGCCATTGATATTTTGGGGGCCAAAAATGCCGTACCCATCCTTCTCCCTGATTCACCCATAACATGTAGGACAAAGTGACCGTGGAAAGGTCATGTGCGGCAAGGATGTAAATTCTCCTACAATTGCCTGATTCAGGGTTATTTTCCCCGAAGTATCTCTAAAATATTCATTTATACCATACGTGTGTGTATGATTTTCTTTATACATGTATCTCAAATTTCAGGCAAAAATGTCATAGTCATTTACCTGCTGCTCCCTGCTTGTGTAGCAGTGGTTTTTGTGTAGCGATTGGTGGGTGGGGCATTATGGGTGCAACCCCCCCCCCCCAACTTTTCCCAAAAGTGAAGAAGAAAAACAAGACCAAAAGCAATTAAGGGATATGAAGTTTACATCAACATAAAAGTAGAAACTACCTCAAAGTGGCTTAAAAATAAACAGACATATCAATGTATGTTTGTGTCATGAACAGTGCCCCCTTTGGAAAATTACGGCAACCTCTCCCCCCCCCCCCCCCCTCATGTCTCCATGCTGTTATTGACAAAGGCTTGACAGACTGTTCTATGTGTATGCACCATTGCCAATCAAATTGGTACAGTGGCAATTTACATGTGACTTAATTACTTTAAAACCCTCCTACTATTTAAGAGGTCACAAACGGTCAACACTTTCTTCCTCACCTCCTGGCACACTGTGTACAAACCAATGGGGGTCTTGACCAATATTGACCCAAGTAATAACAAGACTGACAATGCATGTTTCCATAGGAGGGTTTTAATGAGAATTTGGCAGATGAGGCTCGGTGCCAAAATGTTTTTTTTTATTGTGGAGAAGAATTTTAAAAGGAGAATATTTATAGCAAGTTTTCCATGTTTTTTTCACTCAAAACTGTTACTTCCACATGGAAATTAAACACGCCTGAATTGTCAATGTTGGGAAATATTTCAAGTGCTCTTTTCAAAGATCCTTCTTTCAATTTGTATCAAATATGTTCACTTACATACTCTTTATTTCCATATCTTTGGTCTAAATGAAATCATGTTTTATGTTCAACTTTGTGTGTACTGTATGATGTATTAATACATACACAGTGGTTCATTCGTTTTTATGCAATGCCTTAATTTGCGGTCTATTATATTAAATTTCTTTGTAAATGTATATATTTCAGATATATTTTAATTTGCAAACTTTAAAATCACGTCTTATATTGTACTAAATGTGCATGTACATGCCAACTGTTGTTGTTTAACAAAAACAAATGCACACAACATATCCTTATGATTTTAAAAGTTTGAGCCTTGCAGTATTTGAAATTGATTTATGTAGCTTGAAAATTCAACCACGAAGTGTTTGAATACAAAGGGAATTTTCTTTGACAGAAATGTGCAATTTCTTTTATTGTTATGAGACGATATAATAGCCTAGAGTAGGAACTGCATATGTGCCATTCGTTGATAATAGAAAGTGTTAAAGTTAGAGGATCTAATCTTCAACCACTGGAGAGGTTTCCTCTTAAGGCAAAGACTTTGATGGGATAGAAATACCAGGTTCTCCCAATTGTATGGTTTATTTGTTTCAAGACACCCCGGACGATCAATATATTTGCAATATGGCAGCATTTATTTTGTATTTTAAAACAAATGATCCTTCAGGCAAGTTAAAAAATAATAATTTCTCGAAAGGAGGAGGCTGTTACAACTGATAATGATGATAACCAACGGATAACGTATCACCAACCGATAATGTAACAACAATTGACCGATACTGTATCACTAACAGATAATGTAACGCAAATAATACCGATAGTGTAGTAAATGTAATAAAGTATCGGTCAATTTGTGTTACAGTATCAGTAAACCGATAATGTGAAAAAAATTGACTGTTAGTGAAGTAAGATTTACTACACTTTCAGTCAATTTTTGTTACATTATGGGTTAGTGATACAGTATCGGTCATTTTTTGTTACATTATCGGTTGATGATAGTTATCCTTTTGTTATTATATTATCAGTTGTAACAGAGGCTTTTCTTCACAAAGATGGTGAATTTCCCTAGATGGCAGATGGATTCGTCCATTTCTCATTTTGCTGATACATGTACTTAGGTGTTCAAAGAGTTTTTACCCATTCTTCCAGATTTTGAAAACTGCATACCTAAGCTACAAATTTGCTGGAAACAAATAAAAAGACAAAAACCAGATACATGTACTTTGAATTACACATGGATGTTTGGACACATGGATGGAAATGTCCACAAAGATTTACGTAGCTGTAAGAAAAAAAGGTGATCATGTGTTACAAATATAATATACTTAGTAGAAAATCTCAGTGTGATGCCAAACTGTCCTGTCACTCCTAAGAGTCTTCGCTGTTCTATGAAGTGAAAAAAAAAAAAAAAAAATCTGGAATTTCTTTTTATTTTGAGTATTAATTTAGTGCATTATGAACTTCAGTACAGAGTCGACTCGTTCCTTAGGTGATTTTCGATACATTTATTTTTATTATTTTTTTTTTAAATTTATTTTTTAATGTTTGCATAAAAAGTTTAACATACTGATATTAAGATATGTGACAGAGGGGTACCCCCCAACCTCCTATACACACCTTACACCATTGTTACCTAACACATCCACGTATAGATCTCAAAAGAATTCGTGAGATTCTGGTAACACAATGACCAACACAAAAGAGGGGGGGGGGGTCCCTCTGTCACATATCGTGATATCAGAATACAATGCAGTGTCGTAAAAGTTACTGTAGTGAATGTGGATCAGACCTACATGAACGTTTCTTCCAGAACTAGGTTTGTGGTAGCACTGTATAAATCAGTTTGGTGCTAAAAGGTCCTTATACATGTACATCACTCCGAGGATTGCTGGCAAATGCCCACAGCTTAGATTTTAGGCCTTAAAAAATTAGTTTTTTTATGTCATTGTCAAAGCAGCTTCTGTTCATTGAAAAATTGCATCTAGTAAGTAAGAAGAGCGTTCTACTTTTGGCTGCTAAAGTTGACAATTCAAATAATTTTCTCTTAATAAATAAAGATCTTTTGGCTAAATTTTCCAATAAGGATCTGGATGTAATGAGACCTTGTGTCGGTTCCGATGGTTTGATATGATGTGTAGAACACATTTTGAATGTTCATTTTCATTTCAACCTCCGCGCTCTTAAAGCCTTCTTGAAGATAAATCCTTAGTGATCTTCGCTGGCGGCAATCGTGCATTTGCCCCAAGAAGGCGGAATTAATGGTCTGAACGTCGGTGGGGTCTTGAATCTTCTCAAAACCACTCAAGTCTAATTTCCACGGTGCTACCACAACCTCTTGTTGGAAACAGGTGCATGTATTACAATAATGGTAATTATGATTATACAAAGTCTAAAGACGATGTATAAAGTGAAAAAAAATGTATGTGAAATGCACGTTATGGTAAATCGTGGATTCAAAGTGATGTAAGTGGGGAACAGTTCGTCTGGCCAGCTGTGACCCGATCGCGACACGGTGGCTATCGGACATGGACCTCGACATATTTTGATTCGGTGTTGCACATACCATAGTGTCCCTTTCCCAATGCATATACAGAGTGGCAGTATGGCGCGTATTTACATCAAACCATGGCTTGTTCCCGAGACGTCAAACTCTCACCACTTCGCGCCGGTATTATTTTTGCCGAAAATTTCTATTTTTTGCAAAAGGCAAAATATTTGCCAGCCAACTTCTGATATGCAGCCAAACGCCAAAAATACTGATTCGCAAGAGTAATTTCAACAATATTTGTACGATATTTCTTGCCGAAACCTATACGTTTTAATACTCCGGGATGTGGACTGGAGCGTACATGGAAAAACAATAGGCCGTGCACGACGCCCAATAAAAGTTCAACACACTACCCGTCCCCACAGACTTCACAGACTTGGTGTGTTTGTGATGTGTACAAAAGACACGAGGGATTATTGTGTTCAGACGTCACCCGGAGGCGATTCGAGGCAATATTGACGTCTTAACCCGTCAGCCGTGCCTGTGATAACAAAAACCAAGCCAGTGCCTGTTATCACGTCCTCCGAAGCGAACTGGTTAATCGTGCCAAAATTCTTCACAAAGTATTGAGAAGAACGATTAAGAACTCGAATCCACCACTTACCGACGTGTCTATTTCTTCAACATAAGCACTGAAATGTATATGTACGATACATGTATACTCAAACTAAAGACGTATCGTGTAAAAGAAAAAAAAATATCTGTAAATTTGAAATGTAATGTGAAATGTACTATACGAATAAAATTATGAAAACACTTTTATTTGAAATGTTCCTTTTGATTTTGTAGATTTTGTAAAAAAATGAAGAATATACCCAAATATGGGAATAAATATATACTCGGCAGGGATTAACAAATTATGCAAATTACAATGTAAGGTATATTTGGGTCAAAATTAAGGGTGGCATGCACCTACATTTTCTTCTCCATCCTTTGACTGATGATCTGACATGGTTGCCTGCTATTACCAAAAATGCCATCCAAAGTGTAATACATGTATTCTACGTTGGCTGGTCTAGGAAGAGAAGGCCGTTTCCTCTTGAAGATTGCACCTTCGCAGAAGAACCTTAGTTTTGCATTCAAGATGCTCATTTGAAAACTGCATTATATTTAGCACCATATCCCGGAAGGAAGTGTGAACATTTAATGTGATTTTTTTGTGCCTTTTTTTTAATAGCAGAGAGCATTATGTTGGACATGCAAAAAAAATACAAAAATATACCATGTAAATTCTTTTTTTCATGTAAATAAATTTACATTAAGTACACTCGCAATTCCTTACCTCAGTGAGTACTGAATGACACATACTTTGAACTGAAAACAAAAACAGGAACAAAGGGGTATTATTGTTAGGCCCAGCGACCCTCAATCTTCGGGCGCCATTGACTTTCAATTTGTTGCTAGAACACCAATAACTTATCCTGCCGAAAGAAAGTAAACCGTATCAAAATATGCGTGACAGAAATACCGCAATGCATGGCCTCGTATAATAATGAAACCCTCTGTCACAGACATGCCTTGCGCCCGTGAATGGGCTCAAAATTACGCACTGAAGATATGAGAAATAATTATTTGGAGGAATTGTGCCTTTGATGATGAAGCATGAAATTTGGCATTGTTGTTAGAAGATACATGTTGTAGGATTTTGGCGGTGTAGGGCCTTCTCGGAAAATGCTGTTTTGTAAAATGGCGGCCATTTTTGTCACGGGGTTAATCTGCAATATGGCAAATGAGACGGATCCCCCCCCCCCCCCCCCCAAGTGCCCTGTGATTAGTCCGTGTCTGATGGATCATGCGCTGTCACGTGAATGTCACGTAAGACCAAAGAGTGACACGAAGCGAGGAAACAACTCAGAACAACTGGCTCAAATAATGTGAAATACTCACAAAGACTGCTCCAACAGCATCTACGCAGTAATATTTATTTATTTATTCCATTTCATGCCAGGCTGTTTTCCATTGTGGCCCTGCATGCATTCAAAACTATTTAAAAATGTAAGGTGAAGTTAAACTAAAAGTAAAAGGGAAAAGTATGTCGGGGGGCGCATGAAGTCATATGCTAATTATTTGTAATAGGGAAAATCCCGTACCCCTACAATAAGGATCTTTACAAACGCTCGCCTCATGTCAGCAGTGATACTGCGTTTTCTGTCTGTGTTGCCTTTGGGCGTATGGTCACCGTCTGAATTGAGCCTGGCCACTTTGCTTTGTTGTGTGTTCAATGAAGCGTGGAGTGACACATACCCAACAAAATCCACCTGCCCATTCAACCCCACACGTGAGTGTATAAAATCACGTAGGCCTTGTGGTGCACTTTCCCGGCCCGCTGATATACAAAACGTTGTTTTTTTTGGATTATTTTGTTGACCCGTACCGAGCCGGATTTCCCTGTATAAACGTCTGAGAGAAGTAGGGGGATATATACGCTTCGTTGCGGTACGTCATCCCAATCTACAGTTGGATTGGAATTCAGATGCTTGTTGGAAAAGTTGGGGAGTGGTTTAATACTTGGACGTATCCGTACCTTACGTGAACTATATAGCGGCCAGCAACACTGCCTCTGGTTGGTCAGCACCGTCATCACCAATATGGATAAACGTCACTCGGCACTACAGGCAAGTGTAAACAGTAAAACAAGCTGACATGCTGGTGTTTGCCATTTCATGTTTGTAAACGAATATTCAAAGTGTGTTACATAAAATATTACAACACAGTGCTAGCTATGCAAACAGCTGCCGAGTTGTGAAAGTTGATCATGCAAGTCCAGTCACTCCTTACTACCGAGTGAAAATAAATCATCAGAAAGTGTTTAAAAATTCCCACCTTAGGCCCCCCCCCAAAAAAAAATAAGTCGGTCTCTGGTCAGCGCGCGCGTCGATTTTAATCATGCGCGCCGATCTTTTTTTTTCCAAAATGTTTTTTACCAAAGAGCACCAAGGAATGGGAAATTGCACCAAGGCAAATGATCGAAAGCACCAAGGCAAATTATGGAGGACACCAATATACATGAGGACACCAACAAAGCAAAATAGTACCCACCTTGTATGTACAATTCAAGCTTGAAGAAAAAAACAGAAAGAAAGAAAAAAAAAGCCGCGTGGCCGCGCGTCAATTCCGGAACTTTGGTCTGACAAGAGACCGAATATTTTTTTTTTGGCCTTAGGTGGGTAAATATATACACCCTAGCTATTTCAACGGCCAAGTTGAAAGTTGGGACCTTGGGTGCTTAGGAACATGCAAAACGAAATCAGGCCAACTTTACTCACTCTTTAGCCAGCTCCCCCAAATTTTCATTGTGTAAAGTAAAGGTCCCAAGTGTTTCAACAACTTATATATAGTTTGAAGACTGAATTCAATTTAAAGGAGACCTTCTTCGATATTTTGCACATTGGAGGGAAGTCAAGTGATTTCAAAATGAGGCTAAAGACTAGACTGGTTAATGTCCAACCATGGTCCAACTGTTTGAAAAAGCTTACCTCTTAATTCAGTGTCATATACATGTAGTCTGGTGGCTGATTACGGCGATATGTGTAGAAATAGAGACTAGTACCAGACATGCCAGATGTTTCTTATGGCACAGTTGATTGCAGACTGGGACCTGGAGTGCTCTGAAACTTGCAAAACTAAATCAGACCAACTTTACTCACTCTTTAGCCAGCACAAAAATTCCATTGGGCAAAGAAAAGGTCCTCAGTGTTTCACCAACCAAGTTTGCAGACTCTATTAATTTTTTAAAGGAGACTTTTCTTCAATATTTTGCACATGAGAGGGAAGTCAAGTGTTTTCAAGATGAAGCTAAAAGACTAGATTGGTACATGTCCAACCATGCATGGTCCAACTGTTTGAAAAGGCTAACCTCTTCATTCAGTGTCTTTAGTCTGGTGGCTAACTATGAAAAAATATGTAGTACATGTAAATAGAGACTGGTTCCCGTTTCATGTCACATGTTTCTTTTTGGCACAGTTGATTGATGTAGTACTGAAGTGGTGTTGGACTGGTTGTTTCAGGTGCCAGTCTATCTTCTTGTATTGCATTTGAGTTTTGGGACTGTCATTCCTTCCTCCATACTCATAGTGAGAGTCCCACTTTTTCGGACTAGAGTCAACCTTAAACTTTTCTAAGAACACAGTAAGAGATTCAAGCCAATGACCTGAAATTCGAAACATGATATCATTATAGACCCCCGAATCAATGTATATCTTGACGTTACTTTAATGCTTGTATCCAAATTATAGGCGTCTTGAATAAGTAATTTCTAACTATTCATAAGATGGATGTTTTTGCATCGGGGTGATTGTAAATCAAATTACATGTAGGTTTTGCCCTTCACCGACGTTTAAACACTATACTCAGTGTGTTACCTCCTGAGTGAAAGTTGGAAACATCTTTTTTGGCGGGAACTCGAACCCACAACCTCCTGCTTTCTAGTGCAGACGGTCTTACCACTCAAACCGCCGAGCTAACGGGATCGGTTGGCTGGTTCAACTCTGATGTAGCAGCGGCTACCACATTAACTATTCATAAGATGGAATTTTTGCGTCGGGGTGATGAAAATCAAATTAGGTTTTGCCCATCACCGACGTATAAACACTGTATACTCAAAACATCAGTTGATACTCAATTCCCTCTTAATATAACGATTTGTAAAATATATATTATCAATTCCAATATCTTCCCAAATTGTCAAAACTGGATACTCTGGGACTATAAGAACTCCAAATCATTGATTATGGGGGAAATTCTTCCAAGGTTAGCGAAAAAAACACACTTAATTTTGACTTTGCACAGCGACGTTATGACCATTTCTGGTACACCGAGATATAACAGTTGAACATCCATAACTCAAGTATCTTCACTCCCAAATGGTTTAAAGGGAAAATACAACATTTGCAAACATCAAAAAATAAAACTACCAAATCATTTTGAAATACCTTGCTGGACTGTTAGTGAATGACAGTGTAAAGCATCCTGTAAAATCATGGCACCTGGTCATTTTCAAGAAAACTGGTATTTTTGTATCAATTTCCAACGCTGATCGGCCGATCAGCGTTGGAAAAAACTGGCTTTTTTTCCAAATACTGGCCCCAGTTGACCATCGCACTTGTTTGCAATCGATTACACACCTATGAACGGGTACAAGCCAGCTAGACTGGTTCCCTGACCTTACAATTCCCCAATATATGTAAACTGCTCTGTTTCTTCTTAAATGGAGTCAGGGAACCGGACTACAGGAAAATGATTGTTTTTCTTGGCTTTTATAGCATTTTCGAACCCAAAACCTCAAAAAAGTCAATGTAACTATATTTGCTATATATTTCCAACCCCCCAATTCCATCCATTTCTGAAAATTACAGCAAAAGCAAATGATGTATATTCCCTTTAAATTTTACATGTGATGTCACGTACAGCGCAAAGAAAACAAAAACTTTCATCTTAGCAGTTATTCTTAAATCTTTAACTTGAGTCTTAAGATGGTGGCCTATTTGATTTCTGGACCGAGGTCGTATTTATTGTGATTGTAGAATTTGGAGAGAAAAAAATCGTAATTTTAACACTTTTAACCTGATGAAATGAACGGCAGTTTGATCTCTGCACAGGAATTCAAATTAGGTTTTGCCCTTCACCGGCGACGTATAAACACTGTATACTCAGTGTGTTGCTATGTACGTAAATCAGATTCGAACCAGCCAACCGATCCCGTTAGCTCGGTGGTCGAGAGGTAAGACATCTGCACTAGAACGTGGGTTCGAGTCCCACCCGAGTGATTTTTTCCAACTTTCACTCAGGAGGTAACACACTGAGTATACAGTGTTTATACGTCGGTGAAGGGCAAAACGTAATTTGATTTACATCATTCCGACGCAAAAAAAATCCATCTTAATATGCGCAAGAATTAGAAGTAAGTCCGCCATCTCTGATAAAAGGAACCATTGAGCAGACTCAGGCTAAATTCAGACAGTCATCTGAAAGACTATTGCAAAGTCTGGGTGAGCACTCCCGGATACGGTTTACAAATTCCCGGATTCTGATTCTCCTTTATAGATAGATGAAAGAGTTGCATTATTCACGGTCGTCTAATGAGGATATATAGACCTATTCCTCCCTCTATTCAGTGTACTCTTGATCTTTGTGCGTTGCACAATCTCGACTCAACGGACCGTGGAAGTTGGCCTTTGAACAACTGAGTTGCGATCGGCTTCTGTGAAAACACTGTTCAAAGTGACTCAGTGTAGATTTATACTGACTATTGTGCTATTTTGAAGTTGTCTCTTTTTGTTGTACAACTACATGTATATGCAGGACGTAGAGCAAATATTTAACGGTGCGTAGGATCACTAAATTTTGCTCTTCTGACGTTCGTTATATATGGTGTGAAGGAATGGCTCCAACTTTTTTTAGTAGGGTGAACAACAACTCCAACCTGTTGAAGTTTTAGCTCAGTGGGGTCCATATATTTTGAGAAAATGGTGGAAATATGCAATTTTGTTCGTAACTGGATTTCGTACGTTGCTATTAAACGTACGTAAAAAGGTGCGCCCTCCTTCAGTTGTTTTTTATTCTTCACATGAGGCGTTCTGGCAAAATGTGACAGAGCTACATGAGCAGAGGTTAAAAATGAGGGTTTGTGGGTATCAAGAAAGAGAAGAAAATGCTCCTTACAATCCCTTGAGCTCGTTTTTATCGACATGTCTAAGGGGCGTTTAAAGTTTTGACTTTTTGTGTTTTCGTGAAAATGGAAGGCACGTTTTTCCCATGATTTTTATACTGTGTAGCAGACATAATCAAAGATCAAAAAATCTTAAAATTGAAAAAGAAAATATCCCCATTCGGTTTTTGCATTGTTCTTCACTATGCCTTGTACAATACATTAACAAATTTAAGAAAAATAGAAAGAAAAATATTAAAAACAAATATAAATGAAAAATATGTTTCCAAAACTTAATGAATAAATGAAATACATAAATTAAATATATGAATATATAAAATTACATAATTAAGTATTTGAATATATAAAAATACATATTGAATAATGGAGGACGAAAAACGGACATCCTGCTGTCCGAGTTGCAAAAAAGCAAATTAAACGTTTTCGAAGATTCCGGTTTTCAGCCTTAATTCCTTCTTTCTGCTGAAAGCATTTAGATTTTTGTCCTACATGCGCGGAGAAGAAGTGACAACTGCTCTTCGATCGAACGCTGATATGTACTTAGGCTATGTGCATTTCGGCTTGGCATTTAATCAGATTTTACTATAATCTGGCCATCTTTTTTTCTGCTTCGGTGATGCGTGTCACTTGAGGGACCTTTTCTTACTGCACCATTTCTTACTTTGCTTCGTGTTGGCTTCAATCCTGACGCATTAAAAATAAATCCACCTCAATGCACAATTCACGTTTAATGGAATGCCGTTCGAAAGCAGCCGTATAAAGCCTTTACAATTCAATCTGTTGGCTTTGTGATGCATGTAGGCCATCAACCTGGTAGGTTTGGTTGGTATTAAATGAGGGGAATAATGCTCATTGTGATTTTTGGCAAGGTATGCGCCCTTGTAGTTGGAAACTATGTGATAGCATTGCAGCGGTGGCGGCTTTTTGGGTGTTATCGCCTAAAAAAAA